ATAGTAGACACAAGACAGGTAACACAAGTGGTTCAGGTATCTCTTCGTCCTTCTGAAGCACCAGACATGATAGTAGACACAAGACAGGTAACACAAGTGGTTCAGGTAACACTTCGTCCTTCTGAAGCACCAGACATGATAGGGGACACAAGACAGGTACCACAGATGGTTCATGAAAAACTTCTTCCTTCTGAAGCACCAGACATGATAGGAGGCACAAGACAGGTACCACAGATGGTTCAGGGAAAACTTCGTCCTTCTGAAGCACCAGACATGATAGTAGACACAAGACAGGTAACACAAGTGGTTCAGGTATCTCTTCGTCCTTCTGAAGCACCAGACATGATAGTAGACACAAGACAGGTAACACAAGTGGTTCAGGTATCTCTTCGTCCTTCTGAAGCACCAGACATGATAGGCGACACAAGACAGGTACCACAGATGGTTCAGCAAAAACTTCGTCCTTCTGAAGCACCAGACATGATAGGCGACACAAGACAGGTACCACAGATGGTTCAGGTAAAACTTCGTCCTTCTGAAGCACCAGACATGATAGGACACAAGACAGGTACCACAGGTGGTTCAGGAACCACTTCGTCCTTCTGAAGCACCAGACATGATAGTAGACACAAGACAGGTAACACAAGTGGTTCAGGTATCTCTTCGTCCTTCTGAAGCACCAGACATGATAGTAGACACAAGACAGGTAACACAAGTGGTTCAGGTAACACTTCGTCCTTCTGAAGCACCAGACATGATAGTAGACACAAGACAGGTAACACAAGTGGTTCAGGTATCTCTTCGTCCTTCTGAAGCACCAGACATGATAGGCGACACAAGACAGGTACCACAGATGGTTCATGAAAAACATCGTCCTTCTGAAGCACCAGACATGATAGGAGACACAAGACAGGTACCACAGATGGTTCAGGAAAAACTTCGTCCTTCTGAAGCACCAGACATGATAGGAGACACAAGACAGATACCACAGGTGGTTCAGGAAACACTTGGTCAATCTGAAGCACCAGACACCATAGGAGACACAAAGACAGGTACCACAGGTGGTTCAGGAAACACTTCAACCTTCTGAAGCACCAGACATGATAGGAGACACAAAACAGGTACCACAGGTGGTTCAGGAAACACTTCACCCTTCTGAAGCACCAGACATGATAGGAGACACAAAACAGGTACCACAGGTGGTTCAGGAAACACTTCGTCTTTCTGAAGCACCAGAATTGATAGGAGACATCAAGACAGGTACCACATGTGATTCAGGAAACACTTCGTCCTTCTGAAGCACCAGCTTTCACATACCATATTGTCGTTCACATCTTTACTTTGCGCGGCTCCTTCGTTCCTTTTTTTGTCTCGTCGTGATGTCTTTGCGTCCAAATTCGATCCCTACCAGACATGATAGGAGACACCAAGACAGGTACCACAGGTGGTTCAGGAAACACTTCCCCCTTCTGAAGCACCAGACATGATAGGAGACAGCAAGACAGGTACCACAGGTGGTTCAGGAAACAATTCGTCCTTCTGAAGCACCAGACATGATAGGCGACACCAAGACAGGTACCTCAGGTGGTTCAGGAAACACCTCGTCTTTCTGAAGCACCAGACATGATAGGAGACAGAAAGGCAGGTACCACAGGTGGTTCAGGAAACACTTCTCCCTTCTGAAGCACCAGACATGATAGGAGACAGCAAGACAGGTACCACAGGTGGTTCAGGAAACACTTCTCCCTTCTGAAGCACCAGACATGATAGGAGACAGCAAGACAGGTACCACAGGTGGTTCAGGAAACAATTCGTCCTTCTGAAGCACCAGACATGATAGGAGGCACAAGACAGGTACCACAGGTGGTTCAGGAAACAATTCGTCCTTCTGAAGCACCAGACATGATAGGCGACACCAAGACAGGTACCTCAGGTGGTTCAGGAAACACCTCGTCTTTCTGAAGCACCAGACATGATAGGAGACAGAAAGGCAGGTACCACAGGTGGTTCAGGAAACACTTCTCCCTTCTGAAGCACCAGACATGATAGGAGACAGCAAGACAGGTACCACAGGTGGTTCAGGAAACAATTCGTCCTTCTGAAGCACCAGACATGATAGGCGACACCAAGACAGGTACCTCAGGTGGTTCAGGAAACACCTCGTCTTTCTGAAGCACCAGACATGATAGGAGACAGAAAGGCAGGTACCACAGGTGGTTCAGGAAACCCTTCGTCCTTCTGAAGCACCAGCTTTCACATACCATATTGTCGTTCACATCTTTACTTTGGGCGGCTCCTTCGTTCCTTTTTTTGTCTCGTCGTGATGTCTTTGCGTCCAAATTCGATCCCTACCAGACATGATAGGAGACACCAAGACAGGTACCACAGGTGGTTCAGGAAACACTTCGTCCTTCTGAAGCACCAGCTTTCACATACCATATTGTCGTTCACATCTTTACTTTGGGCGGCTCCTTCGTTCCTTTTTTTGTCTCGTCGTGATGTCTTTGCGTCCAAATTCGATCCCTGTGTGTCTTTTCCCCTCATAAACAATATCCATATCGAAGATAGGAATTTTCGAGCAGTATACTTTTTATTCCTGGTGCTACATGCGGTTTAGGAAACAGAGTCGATTGTGAGTATCCGACAATGTTTCGTAAGATTCGTTAAATAGAAACACATGGTTCTACCGTGTTCGCAAGGACTGTTCCGTTGACTGCGTGATTTCAATGTAATTAACCGATCAACAAACACGTCCACATATTAGATAAAACACTCGGGACTTTCTCTTTGGTTCTTTCTTGTTTCTATGTAGAATATGTGGGTATTTTTTGCTATTATCATATTGCCAGGGATTCCAAGCACAATGCCAAATTCCTACCATTTACAAATAGTGACATTGCAATGCCCACAGACCTCGTAGACCAGGAGTGTCTGTAAGTTGCAGGTTTTCTATATTTAGAGGCAAGTGGTATCTAAAGTGGGTTTACTCCGATGTTTCTTCGTGTTTCTTCAATGGACGACCAGTCCTGGCATCCTTTTTATTCTGTGTGCATATTTGACTAGATTTGACAAGGAAGAACTCGTGAGGCGTGTCACTTGTGGTTCAAGAAAAGCTTCTTGGTTTGTTGGATTACTTTATATGCAAGATTGTTAATCCCATCGCCAAATTCTTTGACATTTACGTAAGCGTAATGACGACAATGCTGAACTAACTACCAAGCTATACTATAACTGGAGAATGACGATAACGGACATCTTATTTCAAAACTCGATGAAACTCACCACCAACTCAAGGGACTTGAATGTATGTCCAGTTTGTATATGTTGTCTTTCCTTTTGATTTAGTGCCATTGCGTTAATCCTTGTGGTTAACTCTGGGGGTTAAGGCGCCCTTCATTTTCGTTCTACTGGGTTCTGCTGTGGTCTTCGATACTCAGTTTGTCATAGTTTGTTAGCGCTGCATTATACACGTTTCCCTTTATTTAACGTAATGCAACGCTGCAATGCTTTCTCTAGGCATACTCGGCTATCGGGTTATAATCAAGTGGTCTGTTTGAGATGCAATCTAAACTTTAATTGTTATTTTGTAGTTCAAACGCCTAAGTAATCGCTAACTCTTTAAATCGTATAAGGCTTCCTTATTTTACTTTAAAGTAAGAAGGAACAGCGTTCGATGTTATTTAGGAGTCGTGTTGATCTATAGATAGACCCTGGCGTAGTGACAGGTAAACATTGAAGACGCATTAGATATACCCGTAGGTAATTATCGTAAGCTAACAAATATGACTTCCGGGTTATCGGGTGTGTCTCGATATAGGATTTTTTTATAACTTGTTAATGGTTTTAAACTACAATGACACGTGGAGTGTGACGTTTTTAGGTAGAAACACAATTGAACAATGAACCGTTGGAAATATAATGGTTTTCAACTACAATGACATGTGGAGTGTGACGTCGTTACTACGCCGTTAACGTTTCTCTTGCTGACAGAATCAAGAACGAGAAAAACAAGTTGTTTTTTTAAAACTCCGTCCCTCGCAGGAGGAATTTGATAATACTAATATATTAATCGATTTCTATAATATATTTAATGTACATGTCAATTATGGGAAGTCCGACATTTGGACACTTTGTGAAATATACAGTAGGTTTCAGAATATATGATATGCCTGATGCTCACAATATGTTCTTTGTTTCAGCTGTGGAAGCGACTCTCCAATCGGACGTGAAAAGGCAATGCGTCACCTGCCCGACGGTCAGCAGCAGGCAATCATGGTAGTGATTTTGTCTCTTTACGTGCAGCAATTGCTTATAAAGCAGTAGGGCGAGGATCTCAACAATTTCTGAGTTACGTCCCAGTACTCAATCCCCAGGAACAGGGTATAACCCCTTGCCAAATATTTCTTAACGTTTATTATTGGATGGGAAATGGGGATCTCAACTAATTCCATTTTGACCTATTAATGTCAGGTGTTGCCAGACCCCAAAGTTAATCGCGGTAACATCAATGCATTCCTGTCTCCATGCCTAGCATATACGGTTATGGAGTGTGAATGTCAAATATGTCCATGTTATGAATCAGGGAGTTTGTACCTAGAGAACAGTCTTGGTTGAAGGAGCGTGTTCATACCCGTATGCTTAGCGTATGTCTGGTTATAGGGCAGCGATTGATCCGTTTCCATATTGGGTCTTGGGTACTAAACCCCAGGGCCACTATTGGAAGCATGAATATGGTCATTTCTTTATGCCCAACAAAAATGCAACTGCATATACAGTTATGGGGTTGGGATCTTAACTCTTTCTGATTCATGACCAATGGAATGTGTACCCGGATATAATGCTGGCTTTCCTAAATACAAAATAAAGGTCCCTTGACCTAGTAATGCTTCTGGCCAAGTTTGGTTAAAATGTGATCAAATAAAAATGTCTTTTGTACTGTTTATAAACAGGTGAATCACACTAGCGAGACTGTTACAAATAAAACACAGGCGTTTTCTATGGTCAAAATTTGATATTTATTTAATGATAAACAATGTTTAATAATTATTCAATCATAAGCAACGTCAACGAATCATACAGTAAATCTTTTGTGGGTGAGAAGTCAATCATATTTTATATATGGACACACAACTATTTTCAAAGAACAGTCACAGTTACATGAAAATGAACAGATTTTGAAGACTTTCTTTTGGTAAAATTAACAAGGATAAAACCCCCAAATCTTATTGTATTTCACAGTGAGCACCAAATTCCTATTCAATGTATTGCTTAACACTCCCCACATAGCTGACTATAACAACTGATCACCCAGCAGCGACACTAATCCCCTTTAAGGATTGTTTTCTTTGACAAGAACAGCTGAAAAATATTCACTTTAACAATGGTAATAAAATAAAAAAAGAAATAATAAAAATACTAGCAATTGTTTGTAAAAAATACAAATATGTCCCTGCTCTGATTGAAATGAAGCTAAATACAAAATCTGTACAAAGCCAGTGAAGCAGAAAATAAAGGTCACAGTGACCTACATTTGAATTGGGGTAATACTCTTACATACGTTTCCACATTTGATTTTTAATAATTATTGAGCTTCTAGTATGTGAGCAATGAAGATAAACGCCAAGTTGTATCAAGATACTGTTATTTGCTATAACAACAGAAAAGGCAAATACTTCATGTCCCCCTTTTTTAAAACCAAAATGATAAATTCAGCGTAAACATCAACTTTTCGATTGTATACAAATAAACATGGCATGAACTTGCTAACAGGATACTTATATTATAACTCCTATTCCCACACATCAGTGACAATATACATGTATTATGCATGCATCACGATTTAGGCTAGGAATTCAATTATTTATAACATGTAGGAATCATTTAGAGGTTATCCTAATTTCTGCCACTAGATTATGTATTTCTATGGGACCTTTGCATTCATTAACATATGACAGCGAGTTGTCCCAGCCTTTATCAAATAGCTTTGATAGGATTTATCTTCAAGTAAGAAGTAAGATTTACCTCCCTTTGTGATTAATATCCTAAGAGTGGAGGAGTTATCTTTATACTGAAGCAAAATTCTTTGTAGGTTTATACTTACAGAAAATATGTATAATCTACTTTATGAAGGAGAAAATATAAATAGGCCCATGGGCGTTAATAGCTCAATTGTTTTTGTTTCAAAATATATGAAGCATGGTAACGTATTTCAAAAGAGTACAACAAATATGAATTGAGACCAGACAAAACTTTTGAGTCAATGAGTCCTAGTGTGTACTCCTACTGAACTGGGCCTCTCCATCAGCCATAGCTTAAACTTGTTGCATCCCTTTGGCCCAACAATGCTCCAGATTAAATTTGGTTAAGACCCTTTAAGCTGTTATAAGTAGCTTTTTAAGGAAAAGTGGATCCATGGTTATTGATGCCACACCACGACATAAGCTACCTTACACTTGGGCCAGATGAGCTAAAAATGCTTGGAAAATAATAAATTCAAGACAGAATATTATGAAGAGTTTCCACACAACCAATAAGTGTTGGAAAGAAGATTGCTGATATTCCATGAAAATCTGAATGGTTGGTTCATTAAAACCTGTCATTGATCTTCATGACACGGGAGGTCAGCTGCCACAGAGAGAGTCCTCCACAACCTAGTCTTTCCCTCTTAACGAATACCCTACAATTAGAAATTATAAAACAATTACCACATTCTATAAATGGTATGAAATTTAACACCCAAAGAGAAAGCTTATATTTAAAATTAATTATCCATTAATTATTTTTGCTATATATGTAGAACTCGAAGACTTATTTCTTGTAGAGTTAGAAATAACTATGTTTCAAATTTAATATACATATACAGCAAAGATGTCCCATTTGATTATTTTTTTGCAGCTATCAAATGATAACAAAAGAGAAGTTTTTAAAATTGGAAGAAAAGACAGTTTCTATCTACACTTACTTCTTCTTTCTGATTTACGTGGTGACTCGACTGAAGTGGTCGAAGTTGATTTCCTACAATAAACAAAGATCTGGTATAAACACGTCTCCTTCAAAATACAGATTTGGTATTTCAATATAAGTGTGCTGATGACATAGCATGCTGTACTATCAGAAGGCCGAATTGCTGATTTGATATAAACAGATGAACAGCTGATTTGATATAACATATGAACAGCTGATTTGATATAACAGATGAACAGCTGATTTGATATAACAGATGAACAGCTGATTTTATATAACAGATCATTAGGAAGCTATTGTGATAAGTATCTTCAATAAAATTCATCAGTTTGGAAATATGTGATACAAAGTAATACTTTCTACACAATGTACATATTAAACGTGTTGCAACATTTCAAGACCGACTGGTCCCTTTGTCAAGTTATGACTGAGTGAGCGATTTGTATTTGTGTGTAGAGCTAGCCCCCTAGGCTCCTGTCTTAAAACGTTGTGGTAAGTTTTGGACGTGAACTCCTGTCTCTGTCCATGGGCATTTTAACTACCAGGTAGGATAAATGAATAAAAGGCAATACATATGTATTTGCTGGTGTTGTATTTATTTGATCACAAAAACTTCTGATTAAATATTTGTAAATTTCATTGCTCAAGCATGAAGAAGGGACCTGGGTATACAAATACTGAAACTAAGGAAAACAAAGTGAAACAAGTACTGATTGTAATGGTGGCCATTACAAAAGTCCCCTTAAACTACCCCTGCAGTCAGAATTGATGCTAAAGGAAGTTGCAGTAGTATTCACAGTACCATCATACACCTAGAAAGCAAATTTGAGTGAATTCAGAAAATACCTAAATTTTGACCAATTATATGCCAGGAAATGGTGGCCATTTTGTCCAATCAGAAAACAGAAACTGCAGTAGCGTTCCCAGCACCATTTCTACACCTACATACCAAATTTTAGTGAAATCAGAAAATATCTCAATTTTTACCAATTAGTGGCAGGGCAGCCAGTTTGTTGGTTGATAAAAAAAAGAAGACCAACTATGGAAGAAGCACCCATGAATGAACATGTATACCAATTTGTGTTACATTATGACAATAAGCCTGTTTAAATGACAACTTTGTAACCCGCACTTAGAGATAATTGTGAACACATACCTATCGCAAAGTTTCATTAAATACCATCAAATGGAACAAACAATTTAGCCCTATATGTCTCTGCCGAGGCTGTGGCAGCCATCTTGGACAGTGAAAGAAACAGTTGACTGTACATCTACACATGCCCACCTATACCAGTGAGAAGATTTACTGGGATCTGACTGGTACGTTCTGAGATTAGCCATGGACAAAAACTTGGAGCAAAATTACTCAAGCGTGACTTCAAAACAAAGAAACAGAACAATAACAATAGGTCACCCAAACTTTGTCGGAGTTTACACAATAATAACAAGAAAAGGGCAAAAACAAGAAAGTGTCGAGTAAATCAATTATTACAAAAAACTTATATAATATACTTACAAACTAAGAATGAAACCTAAAAAACTTGGAAATTAAAACATTGACTGAACATATTTTAAAACTACCGTGTAAATGTAATTTCTGAAAGTAACTAGCAGCAACAAAGATTCAAATTTTAATTTCATGCAATTTAAATACATTTATTTTGTCTTTTACCACTTAGCAAATTTAACCATGTATCAACTTCAAGTTTATTTTGAACACAAACTGTAATTGAAAACTAATTATTCAAGCTTTTGAAAGGTTGACTTCCTTGTCAGCAGTTAGAGTTGTTATACTGGCTATTTGAAAGGTTGACATCCTTTGTCAGCAGTTAGAGTTGTTATACTGACTATTTGAAAGGTTGACATCCTTTGTCAGCTGTTAGAGTTGTTATACTGGCTATTTGAAAGGTTGACTTCCTTTGTCAGCTGTTAGAGTTGTTATACTGACTATTTGAAAGGTTGACATCCTTTGTCAGCTGTTAGAGTTGTTATACTGACTATTTGAAAGGTTGACTTCCTTTGTCAGCTGTTAGAGTTGTTATACTGACTATTTGAAAGGTTGACATCCTTTGTCAGCTGTTAGAGTTGTTATACTGACTATTTGAAAGGTTGACTTCCTTTGTCAGCTGTTAGAGTTGTTATACTGACTATTTGAAAGGTTGACATCCTTTGTCAGCTGTTAGAGTTGTTATACTGACTATTTGAAAGGTTGACTTCCTTTGTCAGCTGTTAGAGTTGTTATACTGACTATTTGAAAGGTTGACATCCTTTGTCAGCTGTTAGAGTTGTTATACTGACTATTTGAAAGGTTGACTTCCTTTGTCAGCTGTTAGAGTTGTTATACTGACTATTTGAAAGGTTGACATCCTTTGTCAGCTGTTAGAGTTGTTATACTGACTATTTGAAAGGTTGACTTCCTTTGTCAGCTGTTAGAGTTGTTATACTGACTATTTGAAAGGTTGACATCCTTTGTCAGCTGTTAGAGTTGTTATACTGACTATTTGAAAGGTTGACTTCCTTTGTCAGCTGTTAGAGTTGTTATACTGACTATTTGAAAGGTTGACATCCTTTGTCAGCTGTTAGAGTTGTTATACTGACTATTTGAAAGGTTGACTTCCTTTGTCAGCTGTTAGAGTTGTTATACTGACTATTTGAAAGGTTGACATCCTTTGTCAGCTGTTAGAGTTGTTATACTGACTATTTGAAAGGTTGACTTCCTTTGTCAGCTGTTAGAGTTGTTATACTGACTATTTGAAAGGTTGACATCCTTTGTCAGCTGTTAGAGTTGTTATACTGACTATTTGAAAGGTTGACTTCCTTTGTCAGCTGTTAGAGTTGTTATACTGACTATTTGAAAGGTTGACATCCTTTGTCAGCTGTTAGAGTTGTTATACTGACTATTTGAAAGGTTGACTTCCTTTGTCAGCTGTTAGAGTTGTTATACTGACTATTTGAAAGGTTGACATCCTTTGTCAGCTGTTAGAGTTGTTATACTGACTATTTGAAAGGTTGACTTCCTTTGTCAGCTGTTAGAGTTGTTATACTGACTATTTGAAAGGTTGACATCCTTTGTCAGCTGTTAGAGTTGTTATACTGACTATTTGAAAGGTTGACTTCCTTTGTCAGCTGTTAGAGTTGTTATACTGACTATTTGAAAGGTTGACATCCTTTGTCAGCTGTTAGAGTTGTTATACTGACTATTTGAAAGGTTGACTTCCTTTGTCAGCTGTTAGAGTTGTTATACTGACTATTTGAAAGGTTGACATCCTTTGTCAGCTGTTAGAGTTGTTATACTGACTATTTGAAAGGTTGACTTCCTTTGTCAGCTGTTAGAGTTGTTATACTGACTATTTGAAAGGTTGACATCCTTTGTCAGCTGTTAGAGTTGTTATACTGACTATTTGAAAGGTTGACTTCCTTTGTCAGCTGTTAGAGTTGTTATACTGACTATTTGAAAGGTTGACATCCTTTGTCAGCTGTTAGAGTTGTTATACTGACTATTTGAAAGGTTGACTTCCTTTGTCAGCTGTTAGAGTTGTTATACTGACTATTTGAAAGGTTGACATCCTTTGTCAGCTGTTAGAGTTGTTATACTGACTATTTGAAAGGTTGACTTCCTTTGTCAGCTGTTAGAGTTGTTATACTGACTATTTGAAAGGTTGACATCCTTTGTCAGCTGTTAGAGTTGTTATACTGACTATTTGAAAGGTTGACTTCCTTTGTCAGCTGTTAGAGTTGTTATACTGACTATTTGAAAGGTTGACATCCTTTGTCAGCTGTTAGAGTTGTTATACTGACTATTTGAAAGGTTGACTTCCTTTGTCAGCTGTTAGAGTTGTTATACTGACTATTTGAAAGGTTGACATCCTTTGTCAGCTGTTAGAGTTGTTATACTGACTATTTGAAAGGTTGACTTCCTTTGTCAGCTGTTAGAGTTGTTATACTGACTATTTGAAAGGTTGACATCCTTTGTCAGCTGTTAGAGTTGTTATACTGACTATTTGAAAGGTTGACTTCCTTTGTCAGCTGTTAGAGTTGTTATACTGACTATTTGAAAGGTTGACATCCTTTGTCAGCTGTTAGAGTTGTTATACTGACTATTTGAAAGGTTGACTTCCTTTGTCAGCTGTTAGAGTTGTTATACTGACTATTTGAAAGGTTGACATCCTTTGTCAGCTGTTAGAGTTGTTATACTGACTATTTGAAAGGTTGACTTCCTTTGTCAGCTGTTAGAGTTGTTATACTGACTATTTGAAAGGTTGACATCCTTTGTCAGCTGTTAGAGTTGTTATACTGACTATTTGAAAGGTTGACTTCCTTTGTCAGCTGTTAGAGTTGTTATACTGACTATTTGAAAGGTTGACATCCTTTGTCAGCTGTTAGAGTTGTTATACTGGCTATTTGAAAGGTTGACATCCTTGTCAGCTGTTAGAGTTGTTATACTGGCTATTTGAAAGGTTGACATCCTTTGTCAGCTGTTAGAGTTGTTATACTGACTATTTGAAAGGTTGACATCCTTTGTCAGCTGTTACAGTTGTTATACTGACTATTTGAAAGGTCGACTTCCTTTGTCAGCTGTTAGAGTTGTTATACTGGCTATTTGCTCTCTTTGCTTGACAAAGGAAACAGACGTTTTCAAAAGCTCGCGAAGTCAGTTTTCAAATACTGTTTGTGTTCAAAATAAACTTAGCATTTATTATTTGTAACAAACTGATGAATTTCATTCTGAATATTAATCATATACTCGTTTAAAATGAACTCGTCTTACTTACCTCCTTGAAGATGGAGTCTGTGTTTCCTGCAAGTATAATTAATGACACATTGATATGGTACAATGTATGTTGGTTTATACAGGTTTATCATTTCTACACTTTAAACAAGAATTGTAAGTCAAAGGTCAACTCTGGTGCCTTCAACCATCTACACATACAAGTACATGTGCCCCCCCCCCCCCCCCCCCCCCCCCCCCCGAAAAAAATTCTTCAAAATGCCCGAACAAAAAAGTTAAAAGGAACTTGCTACCTTTCTAAACAAGTCTGTATTCTTACAAAAGGCAACAACTATGTAAATAAACTGTGACATCTTCATATAATGTGTGTATAACATATATTGGGAAATTACAAGATATTAAACAGGTTACAGGTTTAATAACCAAAATAAAACAAAACATCCCACACCATGTCCTTACCTTCTCTGAGAAGATGAAGTTTTTGTCTGTGACCATCATCAAATTAGAAGAGTTCTCGTCCAATGTCTGCAACCTTGAGCGACCTTGAGTTCTGTCAGGTGAGCCACTGACAGAGTTGGACTCATCATTTCCTGTCATTGAATATTTTTTTGAACTTTCCAACGTAGAGTCCACATATCCAGAAACACTTTTCCTCGACCGTGTCACTAAGGAAAGGTCACTAACATCTGAAGTCCCCGATTCCCTGCGTTTCCTGGTAGCCCTCAAGGAGTATCGTTTTCCTGGAGATGCCATTGCTGCTAGGTTTTCTGTGGTAAGCGCCAACACTGCAGAATCAACCCCATTGCTTACTGAATTGGAGACAACACTAGTACTGGAGCGAGCCTTCCTCCTGTTGGACTGACCTTTAGTAGGAGAAGGCTGATCAACGATTCCAGGAGAAGGTTGTAAATTGAGAGATTTAACAGACGTGAATTTCTCAGTAGGGGTCTTAGATAAAGTCTTCTTGGATTTTGCTGGACTTTGAGTGTCAATATATACTTCTGTCCGTTCAGTCTGTTTTGTATGAAGGGTTTTATTAAAACTTGAAGGCACCTGGTGACTTTCTTTAACAGGGGAACTCAACAAGGGAAAGTCCTCTTCACATGGACTTTCATTTTCAGAGTCATTTGAATCTGGAATCACTTCGTTTCCTATTTCACCTGATAGTACATCTGTTATATCAAAATTATTTACACTTTCTTCTGGCTGTTTCATTGAAGAGGAGACATTGTTACTTGTGACAGTTCTTGTCTTGATCCGTTTACTAGATGATGACACCTCCATCTGTCTTTTCTTTGGTGTCCTCGTGGATCTCCTTAAATGTAGCGATATTTCTTCCTCTTTATCTGATGAGGAAGCTATCTCTTCCTCGTCCTTGTACTGTATTTGGTTCCTTGGTGTTTGCAATTTTTTAGCAGACAGAGTGGACTTATTCTCTTCCTTCATACTTTTCGGAGTCTTCAATCTGTCTTCAGTTTTAGGTGATTTCAGTCTATTAGGTTCAGTTTTGGGAGAATTCAGCCTGTTAGATTTAGTATTGGGAGACTTCTGTCGATCAGATTCAGCATTCTGCCTATTTTCGATTTTTTTCATAATCATTTCCTCATCGGATTCAAACTCAAAAATTTCATATTTGAGTTCAGAATTTCCTGGGGAGTTGGCTCCATCTTTCAGCTGACTTTTCTCAGGAGACTTGATAGTTGCTGCCCTGCTTTTCCTTGGTGCTGTTTCTGATGACGCTCCCTCTGTTACTTCCCCATTTCTCATCTTTCTTTTTTTCTCAGGTGTAGTTCCTTGAATCATCTGATGCACATCAGTTTTTCCCAGTTTCCTTGGTGAAAATACATAGTCGTCTGGGTCGTCTGAGGTACCGATCACATCCTCGAACAATCTTTTCTCAGGTGCGATATTGGTAGGTGTGGCAACAGACGATCGTTTCTTGGGGGAGATACTACGAGGCGTCATAGCTGATGATCGTTTCTCCGGAGAGGTGTTTTTAGGTTTGACAACTGATGACTGTTTCTCAGTTGATCTGTTCCTAGGTGTATTGACAGAGGACTGTTTCTCAGGTGATCTGTTCCTAGGTGTTTGGACAGAGGACTGTTTCTCAGGTGATCTGTTCCTAGGTGCATTGACAGAGGACTGTTTCTCAGGTGATCTGTTCCTAGGTGTATTGACAGAAGACTGTTTCTCAGCTGATCTGTTCCTAGGTGTATTGACTGATGACTGTTTCTCAGGTGATCTATTCCTAGGTGTATTGACAGAGGACTGTTTCTCAGGTGATCTGTTCCTAGGTGTTTTGACAGAGGACTGTTTCTCAGGTGCTCTGTTCCTAGGTGTATTGACAGAGGACTGTTTCCCAGGTGATCTGTTCCTAGGTGTATTGGCAGATGGTTTTCTAGTAGGAGTAAACATCTGTTGTTCACCACTTGAGTGATCTGATGTATCCCGACTGTTTGTAGCGGCCTTTCTTCGCCGTGTAGACTTACCAGATACTGGTATCTCTGGTAAAGGTACGCTTTCCGCTATCTTGTCAGGCGTTGATAAGGTAACTTCCATTTCATCTGAATCTTCCCTTCTAGGACTTTTATTTACGAAACATGCTAGCATTTCTTCTGTTTGCCCATGATCAGATTTTACTTCAAAACTATCCACTTCATCATTGTCTTCAGCATCACTTTCAGCAATCACTTCGTCTGACTCATCATCATCTGTTTCATCTGGTTTCACTAAATCATCGGAATCAAATCCCTCGATATTTTCCTCTTGATCTTCATCTATATCCTCAGCATCCTCGGTGTTAACATCAACATCTTCCTCTGTATCTGCCTCAATGTCCGACCCGTTTTCTTCACTGAGGTTCATAACTTTTTCCTCAGAATCTTTGTCCATTGGTCTTATGGTGGTTTCTTCCAGATTTTCCTTCACTGTCATTTTCTCCTCTATGTTTTCCTTGTCACTATCCTCATTTTTGACGTCCATGTCCTTCTCCTCCTCTTCGCCTTCCTCCTCCTCTTCGTCTTCCTCCTCCTCCATGTCTCGTATGTCCATTTCATCAGCCATAATTTCCTGAAGAGTAACAGGAATATGATACAATTTTGTTTACTGTATATTACATTAATAATACTCTTCACCACTTCTTGCTTCTCAAGAATTGTAAGCAAGCCTTTGAATTTTACAGAGGTATCTATCACTGATCAAAGTAAGTATAAACAAGTCATTGTACAGGATAACTAGAAATCACGGGTCGACGATACTTTTAGCATTAGATTGATCCTTAGGTGAAGTATTTATGATACTTTTAGCATTAGATTGATCCTTAGGTGAAGTATTTATAATACTATTAGCATTAGATTGATCCTTAGGTGAAGTATTTATAATCGTTAATTCTTTGTTAATGATAAACAAGTTCTGGCCCAAAAATATGAAGACACAAAACCTATAGAGAGATATTAAGACATTCAATGTAACATTAGACAAAAAACACCATTAACAAATGCTTATGACAATTGAAAATGTGTTCATATCTGTACCATTATTATTTCTTAGTTCTCATTATTGAACAAAAAAGTTTCTTTTTCGTTTTTATAGAAGAAAAAGAAAGAAGTATGGAGAATCTCAAAGGCACACAAAATCCCAAAAAAGAATGAACAATTTGTGCTTTCAACAATGTCTTTTATTGCATTATGTTGTGAAAATGTTGGAATACCATCTACTCCAACAATGTTGAGGTTTTACACGGCGAAAAACTTTTGACAGGCGCCGCGTAACCTCTAACTGCCCATAGCTGATTTTCCCGATGCTGACTATCACATTTTCAAAGTTCGGATTAAGAAAGATTATATCGTGTTTACATACATTTAAATGGTCAAAAGGGTCCAATAAATATTCCTTTCCATAAATCCATGATTATATGAGAAAAATTTCATGTCAAAGACATAAATAATGAGTTTTTCCTCACTCGAAGCGAAGCAGACAGCATTTGCCATGATTTTTCCGGTTAATACAAAAATGGATTACATGTAATGTTTCACAAGCGGAATACAAACAAACTCCGTATCATTTCGTTCCGTTTGAAATCCCCCCTGATATTTTGTATTAATCCAGAAGCCATGTTTTAAATGTAGGTCAGAGATGTGCTACAACGACATGGACATGTATTTTGAGTGTTCTATTCCGTAATATACTATATATTTGTGTCTGTGACATATATATGAGATCTATATTATATAAACCGTGAGTAGACATCGTTGTCATGAACTGTTAACCACTTATGTGAGTTTTTCAAGCCGATTTTGTTCCGCCCGGATTTCGGGTGGAAACTGCATCAAAGAATTAGTGCTTCGGAAATGAGAGGTCGCAGTCGGCAAAATCACATCCGATTGAAAAAAGGCCGACCAGCGGCCTCTCATGTTATGGGAGTAGAATACCACCATAAAGAAAATAATACTAAAATTGATACACAGACCTATGTTCTATGTCATACAATGGTATGTTGGCTTTCATTTCTTGTTTCTACACTTCAACCTAAATTTAACCCCTGAGCCACCTACATCAATTTTTAACAATAAGTTTATCTCTCATGAGCTTCGACCCTACAACATAAAGTGTTTCCTCTCTTGAGCTACTAAACATGCATCAACATTCATTCAGCACAAAGTTCCCCTCTCTTAACCCACCATATATCAAGACTTGAATTTAAATTTACCTCGTTATCACTGGATATTACTGTCTGTTCGACGAATGTGACATCGGTTATTGTTATGGAGTCATCACTCTCTTCTTTATCTTCAATGTCAATGTCATCCTGAAAGATCACATAAAATGAATATTTGATAATGGAAGTCCATAATAAAAGGTGACTGACCAGTCTATAGTACACAATACAAGTATGGACTTCTGTGAGGGTTAACATGTTAATCATCATAGAAGGCAATCATTATTTGTTTTAAGTCAACAAAATAAAAGTTGAAACGTCTTTAACTCATTCACCCCTGAAATTTCATAATGAACTATTCCAACCTTTGAATTGGAAGAGTTCAAATGTGTCTTCAGGGGTGAATGAGTTAATAGTTTGGAGACAAGGTTTTCTGCCATGTTTTAGTTAGTGCTGGCTTTAAAATGTACACCTTAGCTAAAGAAAAAAAATCATGGTGACCAATACAATATATTTTAATGTTAATAAATTACAAAACATATAAACAGCATTTCAAATATTCATTTATCAAATAACTCTTTATTAATGGGTCCTTCAAAAAATAGGAAATTCACCCTACAGGCTATTATAAGAAATGGATATTTATTTATAACAAATCTGCATGAGTTTTGAAGAACTGGTCATGTGTGTAGGATCTGGCCTGGAATTGATTTGGAGGTCTCTGGTTGATAGGATGGGATAGGAAATAACTACTTAATATATCAGACACTAATGCAGTGCAGTGTCATGCGAGATAGAATCCTACCTGTTTATGCCAGCTCCCACCTGTGTCTATGAAGAACACCTCAGTCTCCTGATTCTCATCTGCTATGTTTGTTGCCTATAAAACAATAACATTTTTTGCGTCATTTCTAATGATGACTTAACAATGTTTTGCAGCAGATAGTTTCAGGAGTCAAAATCAAAGCATGGGATTAGCTCTGGTAAAACATGGTAACTACTTAATGTTTTTGAGAGTTTTGAATATCTTCACAACAACAAAATTAGATGTAACATTTATGGATGTTGTATTACAGTGTTTCAAGCAATAAGAACATGGTTTGGACAAAGTGAAACAAAGTTTTCATCATTGATCTCAAATTTACCTCTTTGGATTCCTTCTTTTTCTTCTTTGCAGATTTATCTTTCTTTTTAGGAACTTGACCCTCTGGTTTTGTATCTTGATCCTGAAAAAGAAAACATTCTTAAGTAACAATGACTTTAAGTGATGGTACTGAATGTTCTGTGTGACACAATGTCTAGTAACTGTTCATAAATTTATGTCAGTAAAATATTACCTAAACATCAGATTATCTTCGGATAGTTTTGGTAGCTAAGGTCTACATTAGGTCATTGACTGTTAAGCAGTAGATTAAACACCAAACAACACATAACATGACAATACTTTATCTGTATATTGTTAGCTAGTGTAACCATACACAAAAGGCCTATTAACTTTCAGAAGATGTCATTAGAAATATCTCACACATTTGATCACTATGACCTTGAAAGTGAGTCAAAGAACTGGAGGTTTATTTGAATAAACTTGAACTTGAAAGCGGTTTAATCCAGGAAGCTAGAGACGAAATGTCATTTCATCAGGCCTTGTGGTTCTTAAGATGACTTACTCAATTTTCTCTCATATTTGATAATTATAAATTTTAATTGGGTCAAGGTCATTTATCAGATCAAAAATTCTCCCCATCAAGCTACAGCACAAATATGGACTCACTGACTATTTTGTTCTTCAGAATGTCCCCATGCCTTGTGGTTCTTAAAGAAATTATTTGAATTGCTTTACATATTTGACATGTGACTTTGAATGTGAGCCAAGGTGATCAGTTGATTTTACTCAGGATATCAAGCTAGATGGACAGACATACCAGGTGAGCTAATGATAAAAATATCTGATTAAGAGTACAAGTCATGGTAACAATCAATACTAATATACTCTGGGTTCAGATTAGATGGTAACCATGCCTACCTGTTTCTGTTTACCGCCAACAGTGTCTAGGAAGAACAGCTGAGAGTCTTGTCTTTCTTCTAGCTCAATTGCCTACAAAATAACCATGCAGTTTGTGTCGGTTCCAAAGACAACTATTTAGGAGGAGTCATTTTCACAGACAGTTCCATAGGGCCTGTCTACACAACACTGTTGAGACTGTTTTTACCTCAGTACAAATTCTTCATTGTAATACAGTTAAACTTTGACCCTGACAAGGTATTGTTGAGTTTATAGTAGGCCATTTCACCTGGTATTGAAGTTGACAGTACAGATACTATTCAAATAGACCCCCTAAACAAGTCATTTCACATCAATTTGGGGTTAATATGAATGCAATCTCATGTATTTACCTCTTTTGACTCTTTTTGTTTCTTCTTCTTCTTTTTCTTTTTTGAAACTGGATCCTCTGTTTTTGAAACTGGATCCTCTGTTTTTGTATCTTGATCCTCTGTTTTTGTAACTTGATCCTGAAGTAGTGAAAATACAGTGTAGTGGTTTGACTTTGTAATAACATTGAAGTGAAGGTAATGACAGTTCTAGTGACACTATTTAGCTGTGAAGTGAAGGTAATGACAGTTCTAGTGACACTATTTAGCTGTGAAGTGAAGGTAATGACAGTTCTAGTGACACTATTTAGCTGTGAAGTGAAGGTAATGACAGTTCTAGTGACACTATTTAGCTGTGAAGTGAAGGTAATGACAGTTCTAGTGACACTATTTAGCTGTGAAGTGAAGGTAATGACAGTTCTAGTGACACTATTTAGCTGTGAAGTGAAGGTAATGACAGTTCTAGTGACACTATTTAGCTGTGAAGTGAAGGTAATGACAGTTCTAGTGACACTATTTAGCTGTGAAGTGAAGGTAATGACAGTTCTAGTGACACTATTTAGCTGTGAAGTGAAGGTAATGACAGTTCTAGTGACACTATTTAGCTGTGAAGTGAAGGTAATGACAGCTCTAGTGACACTATTTAGCTGTAAAGTGAAGGTAATGACAGTTCTAGTGACACTATTTAGCTGTGAAGTGAAGGTAATGACAGTTCTAGTGACACTATTTAGCTACTAGAAGTTATTACAAAGACGTGTATAAATATAATTGCATATGTACACATTTCTATTTTCTTTAACAAATTCCTAACACATTTACATTTGCCTCAACTTGGGCTTCAGAAAAAATCATTGGCTTGCATCTTTGGATTTAATCGAATAAAGTCCCTGGAGTGAAGACAATAAGTGACTACAGGTATTAATGTATAATTGGAGGTTCTTATGTACCGCTTTATCACAATAAGTGACTACAGGTATTAATGTGTAATTGGAGGTTCTTAGGTACCGCTTTATCACAACAAGTGACTACAGGTATTAATGTATAATTGGTGGTTCTTATATACCGCTTTATCACAATAAGTGACTACAGGTATTAATGTATAATTCGAGGTTATGTACTGCTTTATCACAATAAGTGACTACAGGTATTAATGTATAATTGGAGGTTCTTATATACCGCTTTATCACAATAAGTGACTACAGGTATTAATGTATAATTGGAGGTTCTTATGTACCGCTTTATCACAATAAGTGAAAACAGGTATTAATGTATAATTGGAGGTTCTTATGTACCGCTTTATCACAATAAGTGAAAACAGGTATTAATGTATAATTGGAGGTTCTTATATACCGCTTTATCACAACAAGTGAATACAGATATTAATGTGTAATTGGTGGTTCTTATATACCGCTTTATCACAATAAGTGAAAACAGGTATTAATGTATAATTGGAGGTTCTTATGTACCGCTTTATCACAATAAGTGACTACAGGCATTAATGTATAATTGGTGGTTCTTATATACCGCTTTATCACAATAAGTGAAAACAGGTATTAATGTATAATTGGAGGTTCTTATGTACCGCTTTATCACAATGAGTGGCTACAGGTATTAATGTATAATTGGAGGTTCTTAGGTACCGCTTTATCACAACAAGTGAAAACAGGTATTAATGTATAATTGGAGGTTCTTATGTATCGCTTTATCACAATAAGTGACTACAGGTATTAATGTATAATTGGTGGTTCTTATATACCGCTTTATCACAACCTAGTTCGTAGGTCGTCTCAAAGCGGTTTAAAAATTATTATCCGTGTTTCTAGGGGCTTTGCAACCAGCCAATATCTTTCTCAACTCCATGGGGAGCATACAGCCGGTGCTGCCATTTCGGCGCTCACAGCTAGCATTCTACAATTCTAGCACTGCCCAACCACGTACAGCTGAGTAGACTGGAACAAGCGGAGTAAAGTATCTTGTCCAAGTATACAACACAGTGCCATGACATGACTCGAACCCACAACCCTTCAGTCATGAGCCCAGCGTCCTACCACTAGACTACCGTGCCTCACGGTATAAACAGAACTCTACATCCCTCCACGACTTTGATGCAAGGAGATAACAAGTGTGGTAATACTGAACTGTGACAGCCCTCCTGATATTATCTCTATGCCAGGGTTTTACCTCTTTTAATTCTTTCTTTTCCTTCTTTGCCTTTTTCTTCTTCTTCTTTACAACTTGATCCTCTGTTTCTGTAGCAGGAGCCTGATAGCATCAATAAAGAAATAATAGTGATTTGACCTTTGAAATGAGGGTATTAAATGTGTTGTGCGACAGTAAATTTAGTAATAGTTCATCATTTGATATCTGTCAATATGGTTATTATCATCAAATCATTTTGAACAGTTTGATATAAGTCATTACTAAAGACAAAATCAGTTGTATAAATAAAGCAACACATTGAAATTATGCAAATATTAGTACCGTTAATATTTTACATTATAACGGTTCATACTTAAGGTCATGTATTTACCTCCTTGGGTTCTTTCTTTTTCGTTTTTGATGCCTTAACCTTCTTTTGCAGAACTTGATTCTCCATTTTTGTATCTCGATCCTTAAGTAATGAAACAAATGAAGATTTGACATTTCAATAACAATGACCTGGAAAGGATGTGTTGAGAGACACACTTTCTACAATTGACTTGTTCCTACATTTCGCAATAATATAAACTGTATATATTTTACAACAGTTATGAAACAAGTTTCTATAACTTATATTATTCACTCTTGTAGGCCCAGATGGAAGTACACAGAGGGTCTTAATGTGGGAGGAAACCAGCATAGCCCCAGAAAACCCACGGGGTCGGGCAGATGATCCAATTTCATGTCTGATTGGAGAATAAAGCCCCGGCTGTCTTGGTGAAAGGCGGGTGTGCTATCCACTGTGCTATTTCACAAATATGCCAAGATGCCAAGATTCTATTTAAAGTAACAGTGACCTTGTTGATCACCTTATGTTGTTAACATGAAACATGTATAAGAAAAGACTTTCGTGAACATTACATCAAAGTTCCATGACAAGCAGAAATGAAATTAAGTCTGTAGAGCAATGGCACCAAAATTCTATTTATAGCAACAGTGACCTTGTTTTTGACCCCAAAGTGCCAAATCGAACCTTTGTTCAAGAAATTTCATGGCAATTGGATAGGAAAAGTCTATAGAGAGATAGCATCATTAAGGACACATAATGTATGTATTAGCAGATCCCTATATACCCTCTACGACTTGTTGTGTTTGCTCAATAACAACTATAATTTGCCTTGATGTTGACCGAAACTAACAATAATTGAAGTTAAAGATTCTCAGTTAGGGAAACAATCCTTACCTTCTTACTGCGACCTGTGTCTAGGAAGAATAGCTCAGAGTCCGAAAGGTTTTCTTGCTCAGTCATCTACAAAATAACCACACAGACCTTGTGTCATTTACAAAGACCAATCTTAACAACAGGTGCTTGGGGCCAGCATCTATTACCTAATCTATTCACTGTTTTAGATCAAGACTAGGAGCGTGCTTTGAGGGTACCATACATTGACCTGATCCAAACTGTAGTGAACAGAATACAGTGATATACACTTCATATATAATGACAACATCCGTGTTTAGATCGTCAGTCATGGTGACGGACACTAATGTTAATTCTGTAGGTTTATCAGTCAGAGTAACCTTACCTCGTTATTGCCACCAGTGTCTAAGAAGAACAGCTCAGAGTCTGGTGTGCCATCTTCCTCTGCCATCTATAAAACAACCATAGAGTGCTTGTGTCATTTCTGAAGATTGATATCAACATGAGGTACACTGGATCTGTAGGGCTTGCCAACATTATCACCAGTTTTACATGGCTGATTTTCTATTTTTACTAAAGTCGAAATTCTTTCTTCTTTCTTACTTTTGACTGACTAGTTAGTGTCCATTTTTAGTAAGTATTTCACATTTGTTTCTTTAAACCATAAGTTAATATCTTTACTTTTATCCTGATTCTTGTTACTTTTAAGATTTGTAGATTTAGATATTACCCTCAGATTTACCCTCAAAGACCTGTAAAACATTTTGCATTGTGGCAATGAGATTAACATGATTGGCTTTTTAAACACAATCAATACAAATAAATAACCAATATCGCTACACTTGGGTCTACCAACAGTTTAATTATGCGACACTATGTCATATCAAGGGCTGTTTAGGAAACATTAATACGCTAGTGCTACAGTTATACTGTATACCATGTAAATTTTCGCCCAGTCAAATTTTTGCCCTTCAACTGTAAAATCTATTTTCGCCCAATATTGTATTCACCCTTCACATTTAATTGCTACTCATACGAAAGTTTGCTGTAATGATAAATTCGCCCTAATTAAGGAGGACGAAAAAGGTGAAACTTTCCCGATATACAGTAGTACATGTATTTGACATATGACTGGTGTTCCCAATATACAGTAGTATTTGACATCTGACTGGTGACCTACTACAGTGTATTATATATTCCGTCTTTGCGTATTGCAGAGATATCTTCTCTTGTGAGCAGGTATTGATTGTTATGTCATTGGTTTGTGTAAGAAAATTACGTTGTTTTCTCAAAAATTGATGACGTTACTCTCACAAACAAATGACGTAACAATCAATACCTTCTCACAAGAGCGGATAACTCTGCAATATGAAAAGACGGAATAGCAGCCTTTCTGACATAAATTTCTGTCATTTTTTTACCTCTTTGGATTCTTCATCTGTTTTTTTGTTCTTCTTTGTGGCCTTCTTTTTCTTTTTTGAAACTTGATCCTCCGTCTCCTCATTGCCATTTGTCAACGTCTGAAACATGTTATGAGTAATTTCAGAATAGATGAAACAAGGTAGCAAAATATCTTTCAAGTTATTCTCTCCAGTACATGTTTCATTGTTGGAGTTTCACAGCACATCAAGAAACAACACTCTGAACTTAACGTTGAGCCCTGAGGTCAGGTTAATTAAGACAGCTGAAATTGAATGGTGTTTCTGCTAAATAGGAATACAGGATATTCTGCTGGATCATTCGATTCTGACCCCTCGGGTTTTCAACTAGTCTCTTTGTGAATAAAAATCTATATTGAAAACAACATCAGCTGAAATAGAAGTTAGAGATGATTTATTTTATTTCATTTTTTATAATACTAATGAATGTTAATAATGTCAGATCACCGAACAGGTACCAGACAATCTCATAGGATACCAGATTGTCATTTAGGTTACCAGATTAGTGTACAGGTTACCAGATTAGTGTACAGGTTACCAGATTACAGAGCAGGTTACCAGATTAGTGTACAGGTTATCAGATTAGTGTACAGGTAACCAGATTAGTGTACAGGTTACCAGATTACCGAGCAGGTTACCAAATCATCACATGGAGTACCGACTTATTGTGTAGGACACCAGAATACCTGAATATCATACGAGATACCAAACCATTCAGGATACTTTATTATCGTACAGGATAACAGATTATCTATGTGTCAGTGTTGAGAACACAGTTTTTTCTAATTTAATTCTAGCCCAACAGCTACAAAAAATGAAAGTGACAAATCAAGAATGGATACTTGGTTGCCTGAAAACGAGAAGGACGTGTAATATGTACTTACATCAGCCAGCAGAGACAACAGCTTATCATCTGCCTCCTCCAGGATGAACTTGGTGACCTGTGATCTCTTGAAGCGCCTGTCTTCCACCGGCATTTCATCAAGGATGTCCTCATTAATCTCCTCCAACCAATCCAGGAAATGTTTGGGGGCGGGTACAGTCTTACTGGTCTGTAGAACGATAAGATATTTTGTTACTCTTGAGGACTGGTATTTTGATTATTACACTATGAAGAATTTAACAAATTTACAAGCTATAAGAACAGATATCATTGCCAGATATGACAAAAACTTGCCTGTCGCTTCAGAGTGTTGATTTCACCAGATTCGTCCTTTTCATCAGTGATGTCACAGACAGTGCGCAGGGCCAACACATATTTCAGGTAGTGGTGGAAGTCACCAGTATCTGGCTTCTTCTCAAAGCTTCTCCTACCAACACACAGTAAAGAGACTCCTAATAGGAATAATTGATGGTTAAAACCTGCCCAGTAAGTCGGGAGGAGACGTCATTGCATGTAAATATGTTGGTCTGACATCCTTTGACCCCAACATTCAGATCCTAGGAGAGTCAGCTGCTTTATTTGTTAAGTTCTGATCCATATGGGCTAGCATGATACTAGTACAGTTCAGCTGAAATCAGCTCAGTAGAGAGAAGAGGTTGTTTGCAGCAAATGTTGATGGATGATGGAAAAAGCAACACCATATAAGCTCATCATGATACTTAGTACCAGGTAAACTATCTAAACACAATACTGCACAGGTACTGAATAATCTAACTAACCCACACAATATCACACAAACAGTTCAATTGTAGAGAGCTTCCTCAAAACACACAAATAACACAAGTATTTTAGTAGTAGTGATCATGAGTTGCCCACCAACACGGAATACTGTAAAATCACTTAACCAGAACTAATCATGAAAGAGGTAGGGGGAAAACTGACATATAATTATATCTAGCTGATCAGAACAAGAAATGACAAACCCTGTCATCATTGCTAAAAGCTGGTAAAAGCATCTTCTGGAACTACATTATAAACTGATACAAAGGTAAATTAGGGTACCACTAAAACAAGTAGCACCTGCTGATGAAAACTTATTTAAACTAAATACAACTATAGAAAATTTGAACACTTACAAAGAAATATCCCTACTAAGACAGACAGACAGACAGACAGACAGACGGATGGACAAGGTGATTTGTATATAGTACACCACCTCAAACTTTGTTTGCAGGGGATATAATATTCAAATCACAAATCCCTTCCTTTATGCAACCAACAGTTAAGGAGGAGATGCACTTGCAAAGTTTCTGGAACAGAAATTAAGTTTCAAGGGCCATAACTCAGTGAAAGATAGTTGAATCGCAAATTCCTTTCTTCATGCATATCTACATATGACGTACTTTCACTACGCCAGATTACAAAATATCCAACAAACGGTTAAGTTAGAGTCACAGAGCAGAAATTTAAAGTTTCAAGGGCCAAGACTCCAGTTTTACTAAATACACAAAGAGCAATAACTCAAATAATTACTGGATCAATAATACTACATATGTATATCATATTATACATGAATCCTTGGGTATACTCGCAGGACCAATTTTGATTAGGTCACTATGTCTTTCATTTACCCTTTTTTAAACACAAAAGTTTCTTCGACAATTCCCAAAGGTATTTCTCCGACTGCTCTGTATTGTTGTTTTATTTCACATACAAACATATTACATTTAATTTGACACAGACAACGGATGCTTTCAAATTGGGATGATTCTTTATAAACATTTTCTATCCAACTACCGTAAAACCTTGGGATCTAACACGGGTAATCTCTGACACCAGGAGTTGAGCCCACCCCTAACAGCACACAAGGTTTTACTCCAGAACTTACGTCAGACAAGGGTACATACCTGACATAGGGCAGTAGTAGGGCAGTGTCGGTGTGAACCTTCGACATCTGTATTAGAACGTCCAGTCGGTAGCTGGGATTATCCTCCGTCAGATAACAAGCCAAATTACATAATCGCCTGGATGCCTGCTCCTGTTTCTTTGACTTTCTATGAAAGATCAAAGAAACATTCCTGTTCATATTCTTATGGCGGTAAACAGGTATACAACTCATAATTTAATGTTAAAAAGAATTACATCTTGATAATACTTTAGTAATTAGGAATTATCACAAAATTCTAACTGACATATTTCAAGGGAAATTAATTAACAGGTACTTAAATCAAATTTAGAGACAATTTAAGAAAACTAGATTGTTCAAAGGAAATTCGATGATGGAGAACTTACCTGTTGGATAAAAGAAACAGGTCAAAAAACACGGCCATAATGGTGGACAGAAGATCCGAATAGCTGTACGGGTACACTGGAGCCTCGGGCTGTGGACAGATAGATTGTAAAGTAATTGTTTGTACTTACTGTGTTGTTGTGTACTGGAGTCTGAGGCTGTAGTAGGTTAAACAAGGTTACTTTTGTAGGTGGCAATGCTTTCCTGTTTATATTGGATCCTTGGGTCATGGACTAATAAATTATAATTTGAATCTGGGGCTGAGGACAAACAATTTTACAGAGGCAATGTTTTATGGTACACTAGACTCTGGAACCGAGGACAAACAGAATTAGAGAAGCAATGTTTCATGGTTCGATGGGGACCGAGACTGGATAAATAGATGTAGACTTTGTACTTAGCAATGTGTTACTACAGAATAGGTGTAACATAATACCTTTTGTATGGCAGAATATCGAAGATGGCACACAGACAGGAAATGTTTCACTTTATCACATAATGTACGACACCTGCAAAGAAACAAATAACTTAACATCAAACCAAGTTCAGTAAAACAGATAGTGTAATCAGGGGTTACTAAAATTTGGTATTTTTCACCAAATATGATCTCCCTTCCATTTTTTTTTTGGCAATAGGCAAGAATGCCTTAATCATAAGAGCATAAACCATGTACATACCTCAGATGTGGAAGTTATGCATAATCAGTCACTGTGGTAAGACATTTATAGGACAACAAGGGAATACATAACACTTTTCACAAAGACAGCATGTGCAAAGAATATCTCGTAAATAAAACTGCATAGAACTCTCAGTGTAATCATTTTTTATTTTCATTTACTTGATAAACAATATTTGATTCTGAAGGATGAAGATATTGCCTGATGAAAACAAATTTGTGAGTTAAACTTTTATATAACAAGTCATGAACTAATCAGTTTTTTTGGACCAGATAGAGTGGGAATTGAACCAGGATCGTCTAAGTGAAAAGCCAGGCACAATCTGACTACCTGTTTTTGTTGAAAATAGTGTTTTTCTATGCATAAATCTTGGTCAGATTTCAGAGTAAAAGTGTAATGAATATTTGCATAAAAAGATGGCACTGACCTTCAGTCTGTTCACAAAATACCAGTTTCTCCTGCTTATATATTTTGGATAGAAATTCAACCTCCAAAATTTAAATGCACATGCAGCTTTGAGGAATTTTTATCCATTTGACTGAATTTGTTTTAGGTCAAAGTCATATCTGTAATACATTTACTTACATGGCATTTTTATCTGTTTTTCTCTCTTCTGCATTTCCCGTCTCTCCATAATCTCTTATAGTGTTCTCCGACTTTGGTTGAACAATACTGAAGAAGAGAGTTAAACACATGTAGTACAAAATAACAATTTACTAATATATCAGCTAAAGTATTACTTCTTTCCATGTATGGTCAATGATGGTTTAATATTTAACATACTTCTCCATTGGAATTCCTCGTACTACCAAGGAATAGGAAAAAGCCAGGAATATTTTCTAAATTTTTATGAAATTCATACTATATTTTCCAAATTCATGTATGCATAGACAGCTATAAACTTTAGGCTGAACATTTTTTAACATTGCCATGTGAAACAGCTAAAACAACGCTAATGTTATCACCTCATGATCATGTGTTGAATTACATGTATATTTGTGCAATCCAAAGGTGTTGTATTTTCAACAAAAAGAGTTTCAGTTTGCTTAACCCAGAAGTTATACCTAGGTATACTACATGTTTTATCAAGATGTCTTCAACAATTTAAAAGTTACGCCTGTACACCATTTCACTGAACTTTTGCACTCATTTGACCTTGGGTAAAAAGGTGAATGTAAAACTGTGGCTGAAATTCCCAGTATACAGTATGTATTTTTAAATGGGTAAAAGAAGAATGGAGACGGGAGTGAACTCTACTTACAGATAGTATAGATGCATCGTTTTGAGAAGACCAAGATAAGAAGTGGTCCCACATGTCAGGTTAAGTAGCACAGAGTCCTGGTTCTCCTCATCAATTTTCTGTAATTAAAGCAGTACAATCATTAGGTTACCTCCACCTTGTATTTCCCACGATATATTAACAGGAGCTTCACTGTTCAGTAATAAGTAAGAATCTGGATACTGTGGATTGGAATCACAATAATACTGGCGCATTAACAAATTAATGTGACAACTGGCTAAAATATGGCCACAAAGAAAAATAACAGGAAAATCTGTCTCCCTGAAATTACATGTAACAATTATCTAGTATCTGTTGTTGTCACAACTTACTGTTACCAGTAGTTTGTCTGTATATCTACAGTCACAACACAAAACTTACAGCTAGCAATCCAACCAATTTTTCCACAGGATCCTCTTCTAGCTTCCTACACAGCAAGGTTCCATCTGTACAAAACAATGATCTACTGTATACATACATACTTAGCAAGTCTTCTTCACAAAATTTCAGTAACAATTTGAAGTGATCTTGAGTCTGTTTAATATATCCCAATTCTACCATGGGGAAACAATCGAACTCAAAGAATTGATCGAGTGATGGACTGATTGAGGTTTCCAAACTTCACAACAGCTAAGGTCATGTGAATAATGGCTTCTAAAGATTATAATGCTGTTTGAGGACCATTTTTAAAGTGTCATTTCACTGAAATTTCATTATCTGGACATGACAGCATCCATCCTGTCACAAATAAATAATATCACTTTTTGCTGAACAGCAACCCCTTTGAAGACTACACAAAGATAGAAAAGAGAGAATAGAAAAATGTCCCACATATTGCAATGACCGAGGCAGCAGGATGAGTTGGTCCCCTTGGTGTACCCATGATGAGGGCACAGATTAAACCGAATACTTGGAGCCATCAGAAGAACATATACATACTTGGATAATCATTCTGCCTACTGTTTAAAGCTTTAGTTCGACCCCATCTAGAGTATGGAGCATGTGTATGGAAACCACACAAACAACAGGATATTGAACAACTAGAAATGTCTAACGGAGAGCGACTAAATTACTGTACTGCCAGGAATTAATGAATTTTATACGAGGAAAGATTGCGTTGTCTTTAACTCACATCTTATTCTATAGAGGTAATAGTGGAGACATCGGTGACATTGGTGTTTAAAATCTTAATAAGCATTGATAAATTTTGGGAAAGTGATGAAAGGAGATTCACAACAACATCGGAGTGACGTCACATCAAAAACATTGTTATTTATTATGATTAAATACAGGTAAATATGGACTATGATCGGAATATAGAGGCAGATATACCTGCGTTCAGATTAAACTAAGTTAAGAAACCCCTAGACCCTGTATGGGGCCCCACATTAGTCATCTCTTATGATCATGTAGTGGGCAACTTAATTATCTCCTAATATCCCTATACTGGCAGTTGGAAGAGGATAACTAGAATTGAGTATTTCCCCAACAAGAGATCCTGGAGATGTTGGCACCAATCATTGTACAATCTTCATTCATTCTATGTAAGTATGATTTTTGTCCTTCATTTCTCTTATTTTCTTTATCTGTGCATATATAGCTGGCTTTTATTTTTTTTCAAATTAAGGTCATTGTTGTTTTTTCTTGAGAAATAGCGATAACAAACTTGAACTGTCAAAATCCAAGATGGCTGACTGGCAATAATTTTGTCTTCCCAATCAGTCCCAAAATGAAACATCAACAACTATGGACCATAGGGAAATTCGAAAAAGTCAGTCAAGTACTTCTTGAGAAATAGCAGTAACAAACAGATTAACTTAAACTTCCAAAATACAAGATGAATGCCTGGTAGCCATTTTGCTTCCCAATCAGTCCTAAAATGAAACAAGCACAACTATGGACGATGGGGAATCTACGTATTATATTTGAAAACAAAATCTCTTAAGTACTTTCTGAGAAGTAGTAACAAAAAGAATTGTTTAAGGATGGATGACGGACAAAGGACAATTTAATCAGCCCACACTATCTGATGTAGTGGGCTAAAAAGTGAAGGTATTAATCTAGATTCATAAACAAGACACCATTATCCAAATCTGGAAACAGCGTGATACTATCACCACAGTTGCTATAGATTTTTTTTTATGTTTGAGAGTAAACGCTTACATGTTTGTTGTACCTGGTCATCATCAATAGTTCCAGTGACACAATGTTTTTTCTTTGTATACAGGTTATAGGGGAACTTGTCTTTTTTATGTGGTTCTGCTGAAACTTTTCTCTTATGTTGCTCAAAAATAGATCTGAAAAAAAAAAAAAAAAAAAAATTACGATCTCATTCTTATTTCAGAACATAATACCAACGATGTGAAAGTGTGTTAATAGAACATCAAATTTAACGATGTGAAAATATTTACAAAATATCTTGGTTGTACATTTTTCAAGAGAAATGTAGACCATGCTTACACAACATCCAAAAATTGCCTTAGAAGCAAATTTCAAATTATTAGATCAAATATACAAAAAAGATACCTTGCATTTTGCCATTAATGTTTGCTCTTTTTTCTTATCAGCAGGATAAAACTTACATTTCTTGTTTTTCTTACATAGCAAAAGGTATTCTTTCCATTACACCACACTTGGGTGTGAAACATGTAAAAGATATAAAACAAAAAGGAATAAAAGTTTATTTCTTACGTTCTGTAAAAAAAAATGAAGATTTGCATGTCTATCATGCCCAATGGGCCCCTTTAAAATGACAAAATTTTCCTTGTCAAAGTTTTGCATGCTCCTTCTGCTATTACGATCATTTTCCGTTTATGCTACTTCATAAGTGAATTAAAAGCTAGGTCATTCAGCAAACCATGTGATGTAAATTAATTACACATTTTTTGTAGACATTACATTTGACCCTGTTAAATACATAGTATTGTGTAAATCTTTTCATATCAATAAACTTGAAATTTTATGACTTCAAAGTTCAATTTTAATCACAATTCTTCTGAAAGATTGTGGCACGGTAAATTTAGCCACTGTTTCTTAAAATTCAAGGTAATATGTATATTCAATGTTACAAAAGAGCTTACAATTTCAATTTCTTTACATAAAATCCAAATCTTTTGTTAACAGTATCTTTTATAGTTCCTTCTGGTAAGCTAGCTACAGCTTCCTTCAGTAGTCTTCTTGGCTTAAGGTTGTGGGTGTCTTTCACACAGCCTGGAAAGAAATGGTTTTTAATTCAATGCAGGTTAAAATTATGTAAAGAATACAGTTAAATAAAACTATATTTATTTTACAACAATCATGTTATTTCAACTTATATTAATCATTCTTGTTAGCCCAGATGTAAACGTGCGTAGGGTCCAAATGTGGGAGGAAACCGGAGTACCCAGAGAAAACCCACGTGGTCGGGCAGGTGACCCCATACCTTGGTGAAAGGTGAATGTGCTATCTATCCACTGCACCACCCGACCACCGATTAACATTAACAAAAGTTTAATCACAGATCACACAACTACAGCTTCATAACATTCTCTTAGGAATCTCCCCATGTCCAGAATTTACAACATCCTTTGAACCTCAATCCCATCTCAATTCAAATATACCACCAAAACTTTCATAGGAGACTTGACATCAGTTCTGAAGTAGGCGGAGGTAAAAGTACTAAACCTGGATTTGACAGATATTGCCCATTCCTTTGATTTCAACTTGAACTTCCAATTCAAATACTGAAGAAGTTAAGTGTGATTTTATTTGATGGAACTTTATAACTTAAGTCTTAGAAGCATGTTATTTCCTGCATGTTTCTAGCAATATACATGTATATTTTAGTTTCAACTTTGATGTGCATTTTGTTTCTTATTGCACGTTTTTGTTAAATCTATTCCCTGTCCACTGTGGTATTTTTCATATATTCTATCATAAGAGAAGCTCTTCCGGGCTAATGTTTCATGTTATATATTTACTACCAAGAAAAACCTTCTTGTATACTTAAATCACAAAATTCTTGAAAAATGAAAGGGTCAATCAATGAGCACAAACTTTTCTGGGACAATTTCCACTACCGCTTCCATGACATTTTGTCTCGGAACAATACTGCAGACAAGGGATTCTGAATCTGTTAATTTCGGTCATGTCATAAGGTCTTGTTGACATTGCTATTAAATACAAAATTCCCATCGACCCCGGACCCGAACTATCTTCTAACCAAGTCATACTCAGTGACAGTGTCAACAACACCCTGTGAACAGGTGAACAGATAGCCAGTGGTCGACACAAAATTATATTAAATATGTTGTCTATCTAAATCTAAAGAGTTTATACCATTAGATACTAAACGCTTTGCTAGCAATCTAATAAATTTCGTAGGCTTCGCTGTCTCCATCCTTGCATTAGGTTCTGCTCCACGTGCTAGACTAACTATTATAAAACAGAATATCTGATTGGTTCATGGGACGGGGAAACCCTTTTCTATCGAGCCAATCAGCCATCCGTTTACATAATCAGGGATGCTCTTCCATAATCATTAATTTGTCCTATTATCACGTATCATAAAGCAACTTTCGGCAATTTTTATTAAATATCCGATCATATAAAATCTGAAATAATGAAAAAATAAAGTATAAGGTGCAAATTTAGAATTTCGGAATTTTATACGAAAATAAAAAGACACGTAATTGTTGACTTTGCTTCAGTAAAGTTGAATTGTGGGATAGCAAAGAAATTTTGATGCTTTGATAGTGGTTGCAATGTGAAGCTCTCACAGTTTTGTCTCCCTCCGTGTATAGGGAGGGAAACGTGTAGATTTCTCCATGTGTATTAACATACGATGTTATATCTAGCTTTATTTTTATGGAATTTGTTGCAATCACGCTTCTAAAGCCATGGAACACGATAGGAAAGGAAACACAAGTGAGGACCTTATTCACTAAAGCAATGTTTATGTTTTGAAGTGAAACTTATTTAGATTCCAGTATTTTTCGAGAACTCAACCATTTGCATATTTTCATACTCTGTTTTTTACTTATTTCAGGTTTCAATGGATTGTCCAGACACTCTGTGGATAGCCAGAATGAGAAAAAGAGGAGGAACTATAAGCTGATAGTGGATCCAATGCTGAGAGGGGGTGGACAAAAGTTGTATCGCTTTGAAGGATTGGATCCTATGGTAATAATGGACTTGAAAGGAAAAAATCTAGCAGAGAAACAGCACACCTAAAAATATATCATTGGCAGACTGACGTATGCCATGAGCGATCAATTTGGTATTAGCCACTGGATATTTGTCTTAAGTATAACAGTAGTCCGAATTATTCTGACGTTTTATCGACTTTTTTCATATCGGTCTGTCGTCGATTAACGTCAGAACTCCGGCCCTCTATAATATGCGGGAAATATGCGACCCGCGCCCGGAGCGCACTTCAAACTGAGATTTTAGAAACAAATCGTCACTTTCACACACATGTCGCACATGGATCGAAAGATCTATTCTTTATGCACTAGGTGGTATCAATAACATGTTTCAAAGATCATTACGAAAAGAATTTTCCAACGTTTTCTATACCAACCCATGTTTTTTATGGAAATTAGGCCATGAGAAATGTCACATGACTTGACGAGATCTCGCGTTACCGAAGGTATTTCCCAACGTTATGACGTAGGCCGGCGAGATTTTAGTCACGTGGCATTAGAAGGCGGGCTATCAAAAAACTAGAGTAAAACAGAGTAAGTTTGAAAAAATATGTTTTTAGTGATTGTGTTAGTTGTTTGAGGCATGTTATGTATGTTCATCTTGTGCATAATGAAAAGATCTTTCGATCCATGTGCGACATGTGTGTGAAAGTGACGATTTGTTTCTAAAATATCAGTTTGAAGTGGGCTCCGGGCGCGGGTCGCATATTTCCCGCATATTATAGAGGGCCGGAGTTCTGACGTTAATCGATGACAGACCGATATGAAAAAAGTCGATAAAACGTCAGAATAATTCGGACTAGTATAACAGGAGAAATGCTACAGCCAGACCGGGATTCAAACTGGACTCGAGACAGATGGTTTACAAATTCAGCCACTTGCATTGAATTGGTCGCTGACAGTTGACCCAGTCCAGTTTCACTACATAGATAACAATCAACATCCCAGGCTAGCTCTAATATTTTACTTAATCATGTTTTTGTTCATAGAATGGAACTATTTTTATTAATGGAAATTTTACAGCGTCAGGACATGTTATAATAATAATAATTTTAGAAAGGTAATAATACTAGTGTCAAGGAACTGGATTGGGTTGTTCGCCGGCCACAAGGTAGATCATCCTTCTGGAGTTTAAAGTATGACAAGGGTTCAACTCCTTGTCCGACAGAGGTCGGAGGTCCCTGCTTCAAGTAAATTTGTTTAAACACAAGGGTACCATATTGAAAGACGGGGATATTTTGGGTCTTAACAAGATTTTTTGCAGATTTTGATGTGATCCATCTATAAATCACAAATTTTCTTCCGAATTTCAATGAAATTTTCAGAAAAATGGATGAAATGAATTATCTGTATCCAGAATTTTGTATGTGAATCAGAAACTTGGGTATCTAAACTGAAATGTTGATTGATATATTTTAGATGGGTTATAGTGATTTTATGAAGGCAATAAATGTCACGAAAATGCATCCATTAGTGTTATGTTTCATCATTGATGGGACCATAGTTGTGCTATTGATTGGTTGGACTAAGGTCGAGTTTTAATGAAAAATAGGTAGACATCAGGATCAAGATGTTGTTTTCTTATGAATATTTGAGTTTAAAACATTGATAAATCCTTGCTGTTACTACTTAGAATAAGAACATTAATTCTGACTGGGTTAGTTTTCATCCTTGTCTGATGTAAGTTAATCAACTGAACTCTATAAAGAAATATACTGATAGATTAAATTGAGTGCAATCATTGTCTAGTTGACATTTTAGACAAATATAACTGTCCAATTAAGCGGGCATGGCTTGGTGACTTGCTCACCGATTTGTGAACTGTTAAGCAATTAAATCAGTGATCCCACATCCAGAGGGGGCTAGTTGCTAATTAATTTGTGATGACAGTTGATATTAACATTAAACAGCAACATAAGACCTGTTAATTCATTACAATCGAAAAACATGGTTTACCGAAACAGAAATGTTAGAGGTGCCTATAAAATTGAAACCGAACACTGGCATCGAATCCGGAATTCATTCTTTTGCCGTCGGGATGGGATTGAGTGTTAATGAAAATAACAAACAGAAGAAAAAAACAAGTTTCTTCAGAATTGGATATATAAAAATATTAGTTATTGGTTAATTTTTCCCCAACAAATTAATATTAAATATTCCTAATGTTTTGAGATATATTTTTTTCTAACCTGGGTTAACGAGGACTTCCCTCTAGAATTTCTTCTTTTTTTTAATTACTCTTATTTTTTGCCTTTTATGTGATTTATATACTTTTAAATGTTGATAGCTTTATCTGGACCGTATGTCATGTGTAAACCTTCCGAAAGTCCTTTAAAATATCAATAAATCTTCAATTTTGGCTCTAACAAAGTAATTAGAGGCTTCAGTTTAACAAAAACTGATTCAATACTATGTTATATGCTATATAATTTATGTTTTAAATGTTTCACAAATTTCTCACTAATTCAGAGAAAAAATCTCACTATTTTTGACCAAATCTCACTAAAAATATTCACTGATCTCACTATTTTACACCGGAAAGTTATGGCATGTATGTAAAGGATGTTTGTTTTTCTGTTCCAGGATAACCGACCCATTCATGTGCGAGATCCACGCTCCCGATTAACAAGACTTTGGTCAAAGAAATTAGCAGCAGACTTACCAATTCCCAGATTTAAGGTTCTTAAATAAACCTTTGGTGTATCAAGTGGATACATTTGAAAAATGATGCTTCATGCATAAAATTAAAATAATTGATCTATTTGAATATACATAAGAAAAAGGAGACAAAAATGAAATACATGTAATATGGGTCCTTTGCAGGTGTTTTGCTCATTTTATTACCAAAAACAAGGTAAACACAATCTCTGCCATATGTTATAAAGTTTGCAAGTGCACAGTTTTAATATTTCATAATAATGTTGGTTGTTTTATGAGGTAATAGTAACAGAAAAGTAAGCCTTACAAAACCAGAGAGCATCTTGAAAACAGATTCACTTTTACTTTATGAAATTTGTTACTTTATGAAATTTAATTAATTAGAAAAAAAGTATCACAGATTAGGGGAGTAGCTGCAATAGTTTGTTTTTCTAAGCAAACACAAAAAATCATTAAAAAGTGTAAGAGTTTGTTAATGAGTTTATTTCAATTGTAATTTCAGTATGATGAACACTATGTTGGAGAACCACCACCAAATGAAGTCACATTTACCAACTTGAACGATAACATCAATCAAGATTTCCTTGAAAACATGGTGAAGGTGTATGGAAGTGTGGAAGAGGCCAAGATTTATTACAACCCAAAGAACAAAAAACATTTAGGTGTTGGAAAGGTTTGTAAATTATATAAACACAGAAAAAAGTATGGCTCCTTAATATCATAAAAACATTTAAAAACAGAATTACTTTTAGGTAATATGATAGCTGTGTATCTGTGTGAAAACATCTCTGTGTATCTGACAAAAATAAAGACAGAATGATTGAGCCAGTTGTATGACAACAAATGAAGGTAGAATGTTTACTGTGCTACAGATTACAGTAGGCAAACTACAGCTGATAATGGGCTTCCATATTGTCAATGACAGCATTGTTAATTCAAGGACCAAGTGTTCATAATTCATAGATTTAAAAGCTGTTGGTTTAAACTAAGTATTTTTTGTCCAAGTGTACAGTTCACTAAAACAAAACAAATGCTGTAAATTAGAACAGTTCTTGGTGGCCGTTCCCCACATTCAGTTGATTGCATTGTAGTGTTGACTGTATGTAAAATATGTGTTCTGAAATAATTTTGTTTGACTTTGTTTCCTGCAGGTCATGTTCTTATCCTCAAAGTCAGCGAAGATGTGTGCTGATAAACTCAATCAGTCCTCTAAGATGGGAAATGTGATGACTGTGTTTGTTGATGCTGGGGGTATGTATGAAACTAATGTTACAAATTTGGTTTAAATTTGATGAAAGATAGATATTAATAGTTTGAATAAAATTATTATATGTTTCTGTAAGAATTTGAATAATTTAGTCATTGCACTTTGCCATAGTGTTGGTACATGCATATGATACATGATTTCTTTAAAGATTTGCAAGTCTATCTTGCTTTGATACAAGTTCTTCTCCTTACCTCTGAAGTGTCTGCTATGACCAGAAATTTGGATTTGATCAAGTTATTAATTACGCATCATGTTTAAAGTTGAAAGATACCCAAGATTCATGCATCAATAATACCTGCGTATTTCTAAAATACTTCTATTATCTTTCTTAATTCAGAAATATCATATAAGGTTTCAAGGGTGATAAATCTAACATAAATTTAAATCACAGCAATAAATTGTATTTAGTAACATTAAGGCGACACAATTTAGTTGATAATCTACTTAAAACTTTTAGTTCATCAGTTTCCTGGAATATGTTTATAAGTCATTGAAGTATAAAAACAAGACCAATTGCCAATCTATGTATGTTATTTTGTAGGTAAAGAGAGACAGAAGATTGTGGATGACATGTTGTCGGACAAGCCTAAGACAGCAGCACCTGTTAGTGCTCCTCCTCCTGTTTTGACTGATCCACGCAGGAACCGACGCTTGTCCTCATCTTCATCATTCCCAACACTTCAGTCAGCCTCTAGTATTCAATCAGATTTCTCTACAAGTATCCAATCACAGTCAAGTTTTGATGCATATGACCCCGAGGCATATGACCCTGAATTTGAATATTCATTGACCCAGCCCCCTCCACACCTTCCTACTCAGCCGCCACCTCCGTTACCTGCCCAGCCAATGTATGCCTCATCTGAGAAGAGCTTTAGCAGCAGCCAGTCAGACCTTGGGTATGGGACAGGGACGCCAATGTCTAACTACACTCATGACAGCTATAACAAGGCCTATGACTCGCAGACCAGCACTCCCAGTGGCAGCTTCTATCCTGGGGGCAATCACAATCAATTTGGCATGTCACAAAGTCATGGTAACGGTGGTGCTAATAGTGGGTATGGCTTCCAGCAGCAACAGCAGCAGCAACCGCCACCTCCACTTCCTCCACAGCCGCCACCTCATCAGCCACCTCCTCATCAGCCACCTCCTCATCAGCCACCACCTCATCTCCCTTCTCATCCTCCTCCTCACCTTCCCTCTCATCCTCCTCATCTGCCACCTCACCCGCCTCACCCATCGCCACTACATCAGAACCAGCATCATCACATGTCGTACAATAATAGTGAGAATCAGTATTCCTCAAACCAGGACATGGATCGGTTCCCGCCAGAACCACGTCAGAGGGGAAGCAATCATCACAGAAACAGACAAAATAGCGAAGGTGGTGCTCGAAGTGATCACCGTAACCGGGACTGGCGGAGGGACAGAGAACACAGACATTCTCGCGACTCACGCGATCACAGAGATCGAGGGGACGATCGGGATGAATATAACAGAGAACCGCAGAGAGATAGGTTTAACCGACGAAATAATGACCGTGACAATGACCGCAGCAACAGTAGGGATAGGAATCATCACGACAGGTATAACAGGGATGTGAGGGACAACAAAAGAGGCGGTGGAGTAAAGGATAGAACGGATGTCAGGGCAGGACCAGGGCGAGGGAAAGACAGGAAGGATGGAAGAGGGGAAAGGGATGGTGGCAGGTTTCGTCATAGACAAGAATCTGCTGAAAGGAGTATGGAAAGGGAGAAACCTCCACCCCAACCCCCTAAACCTAAAACACCAGAATCAGAACCTGTACAAGAGGAGGAGCCCCGCAGCATGAGTTTGGAGTCTCGTATTCAAAGCTTGCTGCAAAATTCAATGGGTGAAGGGTTTGGCAGCCCCTCTTCGGACTCAACTAGTGATTCAAGGAAAAAGGAGCCCACCCCCCCTCCAAGTCGGTGGGAGAAACCTGTGTCTGGGCCCCGAACTCCCGAACCAGAGGCCCCACGTGTACCACCCATTCCTGTGGTGGACCAGCCCCGCACCCCCTTTAACCACATGTCACACTTCAGTACACCACGGGACTCGGGGCCCCACAGCACGCCTGACTTCAGGGACGTTAACAGTGTTCAGAGCAGTGTGAACGGTAGCATCGATGTGAGTTTGCCCCCACCCTCATTTCATCCTGCAAATATTCCTGCAATGCCAGACATGTACAGTAAACTTCAATCATCTCTAGATGTTGGGACTCCAACAACGTCACAAGAAATTGTTCAAGACACTAAAAGTGCATCAGACGACGACGACAGGATGAGTATCTCATCAGGTGGAAGTGGTGAACAGAATATAGAAGTCAATCCCATAATTCATCCTTCTGGTGAAGTACCCAGTCAGACAATGGCGCCCCTAGTAAATACTGACTTCATGTCACCAAACACATCTCAGCCCCTGGCCTGGCAGACGGGCTCGTACAACTACGGTTTTAATTATGGTCAAAATGTAGACATGTCCGGTTATAATGTGTACAACCAAAACTATTACAACCAGTATGTCAATAACTCTCTGAATGTCGTCGCCTCTCAAGGACAGGTCGTAGATCAGTCCGAGGAGGATGAGAAAATAGAGAAAACTTTTGCAGCTGTTCTGGATGGTTGTATTAAGGAATTAAAACAGATAATGCAAAAAGATATGTGTAAGAAAATGGTAGAAAACTCGGCTTTTAAATCCTTTGATGGTTGGTGGAACAACGAGGAACAGAGACACAAACTTCTGGTAAGTATGTGTCGTATAAGTATTAACGTGTCTGTTAATCAGAAGTATTGTTTTGCTCTACAACATTAGTCATGTCATCCTCACCAAACTGTATCAAGTTTCCATACTTAGTAAAAAGTAGACAGTTTCAGGGTCGGTTTGTCAAAAGTCTGTTATTTTTGTTAAAAATCTTTTTGTCAAAGGTTAAGGTAATTAAATATAAAGTATTAAATGTACATTTCCTGTTCTAGCAGATGCTTAAATTAATTCCATCAGATAAAGATTCGACAGTGCAATTGTATATAGTAATTCAGTAATAAAATTTCATATATTGAGTTTTTGTTTGGGTAATGTTGGTATTATATATATATATTATATGGTGTAGAAGCCTATTTTATCTCACTGTTTTTAAAACACATAAGCTATACAATGTCAATATGATTTAATGCAATGTTCTACTTAAAATCTCACTATATGTGGAAAACTTGAAAGTTCAAGTGTTTCATTTAAGTTATGTTATTGTTTGAGTAACTGAAGAAAACATACTAGGATGTGTTCCTGAAAAGTTTCTTCAAATTTATAAATAATCTTGAGAATAAAATTTTCATATATGGAGGGACAAGATTCTATACTGGATACGTCATCATGGTGATATTTGTGTCTTATTTAACAGCCACAAAAAACTGTACAAGAAAAGCCGACAGAGAAGTCGTCCTCTGTCAAGCCGACTGTGACAGTAGGTAAGAAGGAGGTCAGCTCCACCATTGCGTCTTTGTTTGAGCCACAGCACCCCTGGACCAAGGAAGGCGAGATTAACTTTGGCAGCTACTCCAGTGGTATGGGCGGGGGATTTCTTGGCATCAGGGGAGGGATGCCGCGCCTCCCCTCATTTAAGGTACACAAATATTTACGGTAGAAAGTGTCCGATATGATTTTTACCAAAGTTGGTGCTTTCTTTTTCTTGTGCATCAATTGTTTTTATTCGAGAAAAAGACAAAAAAATGTTTAAAATTACTAATTTAAGATGTTAAATTTCTTACACTGTGTCCGAGATGCAACTTCCTGGGTTTGATTTCCAAACCTTGTGTAGGAAAAGTACCATTAAATGATGTTAATTTGATATTCGGTACTATTGTAGAAGAAGTTCCGTCCACCGTCCCCACCTCCCGAGGATGAGGAGAGTAAGGGTGCTCACGAGGAGGAGGAGGAGGGTGATGATGAGGCCAAGAGGGAGGATGAAGCTGGATCAGGTAATTACTCTCTCCTCCACTCAGCCAAACCCCTGGTGGTGGTCAGGTGGCATTGTGGTACAGAATAAAACATAGAACTGAATCATTTACATCTTGTTTGAAAGTATGCTGATAGAATTGAGAACACATATAATATCAAGGAGACAAAAAAGATAGGTATTATGTTGCAAGAAGGCTACAAGATATATGTTTAATAGCTATGAAATATATGTGTTCAGTGGGAGGTGTAATCTACGATCAGACCAACAGTATGCAAGACACACCCCTATAGTGTCTGGACCAAGTGTAGACTACCACGAGTGTCATAAAGCACTGCCACACATCACCTTAACCCTTTCACCCCTATGTAACTTTAGAAAACTCTACCATGCATTGATCTGGTTGAGTCTATTATGGTCTAAAGTGGTGAAAGGGTTAGTGGCAATTCAATGTACATGAATCGCCAAGCACAAGCAAACAGGCAAAATTGGAAACCTGAACTGCTATTCGCGTAGAAACATTTTTCAGTTTGATTTAACAAATCTTTTCTAGATGATGAAGTCACATCCACGAGAGCGTCGAGGAAGGCTGTTGTCAGTGATAGCAGTGATGATGACGATGATGATGAAGATGAGGATGAAGATGAAGATGATGGTATACTTAAATTTATCTGTGAAAATGTTTGATTGATTAATGCATTTTGTTTTGCAAGTAATAGATCTACTTTATTTAGTTGTGAAGTGTAATCTGTGTTCCAACAAAGCAGCCATCTACGAGATTTGGCAGTTTGTTTTCACAGCTCTCCTTATGTATTTCTAACATTACGGCAGATGTTTTGTGAAAAAAATTAGCGCATTAAATCATTTATTGAGGCTGTAATGGGTACACAATTTTGGCCCAAGTTACACCACTCACTGAGTTTGGTTAAACTGTGATTAGCTCCATTTCACTGATTCTTCACGTCCCTGTCCTCAAACTCCACATGTACATATATCTTCATTAGTACAACACCAATATTTCAAATGTAGGTCACTTTGACCTATGTTTTCCACTTCACTGACTTTGGTTAGACTTTGCATTTAGCTCCATTTTCATCAAAACGGCAGCTGGAGCATATGAATATTTCACATTTTCTGGCTGCATCTCATAATGAAAATCAACAACAATCAGGCAGTGACATTATAGTGACAAAGCCAGTTAATGCAAGTGTTTAATTTCTGGTAGATCTTGTGTCTCTGTTCATTATAAATAAATAAGAAAATAAAATATACAACATTTGATATAGCGCCCTATCTAGCTAGAATAAGCCACTCTAAAGCGCTTTACAGTACATAGATATACAATGAAATGAAATATACAACATTTGATATAGCGCCCTATCTAGCTAGAATAAGCCACTCTAAAGCACTTTACAGTACACAGATATATAATTCATTCAATTAGCACATTCATTAATCAACACAATTATTCATATCAACAGATGAAGAGGCCAGCGCAGAGAGTAGTGAGGAAGAGAGTGAAGAAGAAGATGAGAGCGAAGCATCAGCATCAGATTCGGATGATGAGGAAGAGGAGGAGGATGAAGAGGACGCAACAGTAGATGTAGAAGGGAAGGATGATGAAGATGAAGAGGATCCCATCATAGATGTGATATCTAAAGATGATAGGTTTGTAGATAACGACACAACCTCCTCATTAGTGCTAACACAACCCCCTCATTAGTGCTAACACAACCCCCTCATTAGTGCTAACACAACCTCCTCATTAGTGCTAACAGTTGCTCTTGTATTGCTAACTTACAGATATCTTCACTATTTTGTTGTCTAACAGTAAACTGTCTTCACATCATGGATAGTAAAAATTTGACAGTAATAACATCTTCACATGATAGATCGTAAGAAATAGGAAAAGGATAGACCAGTAAACATTTGTCCACGGTTTAAAGTTGAAATCAGACAGAGATCAAGCTCCAGCTGGATCGAGAAAGTTGGAACACACTAAGGCAAGTGTTGCCTGGGGTTTCATTGCCATATCAGAATGAGATATAGGACCATGTTGTTTGTATGTATAATTTCACTCCAATAATTGGGGTTGATATCTAAGAGCATTATTACAGTATCAACATGAAATTCGAAGACTGTTTTGTAATTCTAGGTTTATAGCTACACCTTTCTTTATACACAGCAAATCATTAAGTGAGATTGTTTGGTTTTACAGAGAGGATGAAGATGAGGAGTTGTCAGTTGGTGAGCCAGCTAAGGTAGAGAAAGAGGAGGAGGACGAAGAGGAGGAGGAGGAGGATGACAAAGAAGATGAAGAAGATGAGGAAATTGATATGTCTCTCTCAGAGACTGAAGAAAAGTGAGTTTTTGGCAGAGAACGTCTCTTAAAACTGAAGCCCAGCAACTTTTGATTTAAAACTAGAATCAAATTTGTTCATGATGTTTGATTTTGATAGAAATAGAAAGCACTTTAGGTAGTTTGTTAATGTAACAGTGAAACTATATATACATAGAGCTGATCATCCAAATGATAGGTTGGTGCTTGGCACTTACCTTTCACCGAGACAACAGGGATTTTATTCTCAAGTTGATGGTTGAAAAGGTAGGCGTCACCTCTCTAATAATGTTGGTTCCATTCTCCTATCACATCAAAACCCTCTGAATACTACCACCCCAACCAACACTAATTGAAAAAAAATGTTTCTTAATTGTTGTAAGACGGTGTTTAATTAAAATCCCATTTTTTGTGAAGGAATAATGAAATTGTTGTAAAGAGGATTTAATTGTCTTAAAAAGGAAATATGAAAATTGAAATATGAGAAATTGTTATATGTCAGGGATACAATATTTGAAGACTTGTTATTTTCATGTTTTTCATGCATTTTACAGGGAGGAGAAGCCCGAGTCGCCCCAACCCTCTGATCGGGTGTTGCCCACAAAGGAAGAAATCTGTGATAAAGACAATGCTGAGAAGGAAGACACACAAACAGAGAGTGAAAGTGTGAATATCAATAATACACGGTCTTCCTTAGATGCAAATCTTGAATTAGCCAAACATTTAACTAAATCCAACTTTCAGACGTTACTAGATGCATCTGAAATTCTTAGTTTACGAGAACTCGTACAAAAGCCATCCATTCTGAAAGAGACAGATAAAGTGAAGGAGAAAGTGAAGGAGAAAGTGAAGGAGGAGGTTATAGATGTTGTGGAGTCTGAGCCTGACAAGGAGGAAAGGTTTGGATTCCTCGCGGAGCATGATTACTTTGCTCCACCAGTATTACCTCCAGAACAAAAAGAGGCTGATGAAATTGATTCCGATGGGACCATGTCAGCTGATGAGGAAACGTCGCCTGTGGAAGTGTTCATGGACCACAATTACTGTCTTCCTCCTAAAATACCTCCCAAACTGGAAATGCCAGTGGAGGAACTGAAACCAGAACCTGTGAAGGAAGTTAAACCCAAGGAAGTGAAAACCGAGGTACCTCAGGAAAACAAAAAATCACCGGCAAAGAGAAAGCCGAGAAAACAGAAACAACCAACATTAACAGACATTACAGAAGAGACAGTTCATTTAAATAAACAACGAGGAAGTAGAGAGTTGGCAAATCTTCTTGAACCCATCAAACCTATTTCAAAGTTTGATCCCAGGAATTTGGACGATGAGCGGAAAGTTTTCTTTGATATGTACACAAGTGGTCTTGATAACGAGGATATTATGTTCCTTAAAAGGACATACGAGAACCAACTTCAATCTGAGGATCCCTCGTGTTACTGGATTAATGACATTCTGTGGGTGGACCATCCGGTTACAAATATACCCGACCCTGTTCCTCCCAGAAAGAGACGGAAACTAGAAGACTTGCCAAAGATACATTCAACAGGTTTGTAGTCATCGTCCAAGTGTGCTGCTCTAGTGGAGCTGTTCATTTTATCCTTAATGTTTTCAGGTGTTTATCCAGGATGTAAATTATTTCAACTCTTTCTAGACTGCATAGAACCAAGGTATTACAAGTTATATAGACCCACTATATCAAATTATTCAACTTATCTAGGATGGTGTTTTTGGTCAAGACATCACACATCATATGGTTAATTTTAATAATAGAATCCTCCCGTTAATTTAAGCAGATGTAATTGGTAATTGGTAAAGTAATATGGTCTTTGAAAATGAGTTCCAGATACTGCATACAAGTTCCAAAGAAATTTAATTTCTCTTAGAGTAAGATTTGTTCTTGTTATTCAACAAAATTCTTTTTTTCTCATCAATTTATGACAAAAAAGGTTTCTGTTGAACCACTAAATAGTCCTGTTAAAACCTCCCTCAATTATAGACTAATACCAGTGAAAAGGCTGGGTTCATGCAGTTAACTTTAAAATGCTCCATTTAGATTAGAGAATTTAATAAAGACACATTGGTCACGCATGAGTATATGGCTAATATAGAACTAGTAGAGAAACAGGAAAATTGTCTATCATATGGTGCAGCCTTTCTGACCCCTGGAAGATAGTGTGTTCTGTTTCATACACAAGGCTGTACAGTAACGGTCACAGAATTAAGGGGTAATGCAATTATTTATCAGTTTTCTATAGATGCACAGTGTGTTACGTCTACACATCAGGTTATATTTATTATATTAGCCCACCATATATATCATCATGACCATCTGATGGTGGGCTATTCAAATCGCCCTGCATCCGTTGTCCGTGGTGACGTGGTCCGTCCTTAAACAATTCTTGTTATCGCTATTTCTCAGAAAGTACCAGAGGGATCGTTCTAAAATTTTATAAGTAGGTTCCCCCAGCTTGCAATTGATCCTTAATTGTGCAGGGCAGCTTTTGAGACTGATATGATAAACAACATGGCCGACAGGCAGCCATCTTGGATTTTGATAGTGAAGGTTTGTTATCACTATTTCTCAGGAAGTACGAGAGGGATCTTTCTCAAATTTTATATGTAGGTTCCCCTTGGTCCTTAGTTGTGCTGGGCAACTATTGAGACTGATATGATAAACAACATGGCCGAGAGGCAGCCATCTTGGATTTTGATAGTGAAGGTTTGTTATCACTATTTCTTAGAAAGTACCTAGATGTTCTCAGGAAGTACGAGATGGGTCTTCCTCAAATTTTATATGTAGGTTCGCCTTGGTCCCTAGTTGTGCAGGGCAACTTTTGAGACTGATTGGATAAACAACATGGATGACAGGCAGCCATCATTGATTTTGACAGTGAAGGTTTGTTATGGCTATTTCTCAGGAAGTACCAGAGGGATCTTTCTCAAATTTTATATGGAGGTTCCCCTTGGTCCTTGATTTTTTTAATTGTTGTGCAGGTTAACTTTTGGTACTGATCAGATAAACAAAATGGTCGACAGGCAGCCATCTTGGATTTTGAAAATGAATGTTTGTTATCGCTGTTTCTCAATAAGTAGTGGATCTTTCTCAAATCTTACATGTAGGTTCCCCTAGGTCCCTAGTTGTGCATATTTACTTTTGAGACTGATCATATACACAAAATGACAGACAGGCTTCGAATTTTGACATAGTGGATTTGTTAGTATATCCCTCAAGTTATTCTCAAGAATAACTTGAGGGATCTTTCTCAAATTTGATATGTGGGTTACCCTAGATCCCTCATTGTGCATGTTATATTTTGAGACTGAGCATAAAAACAAAATGGCTTAAGGAGGAACTAAACAGATCTTTCTCATATTGCAATGATCGATCCAATCCTTTCACATTAAGTATGTTATACTGTGCTAGTAAATATGTGAAAAGACAAACTCACTTTGAAGGTTGTCTTTTATACACAGCAGTATTAAGTTAAGATCAAAAGTAACCTCAAGGTGCATTTACAGTTAACATGACTCGATCAAACAGATCAGAGAAAAGAAGAGAAAAGATCGAACTGACAAAGAACTAATATTAATGAAGATGGTACAATGGTGGGCGCCAGGATCCCTCTGGGATCTCTTGTCTTTGGAGGTGTTAATTTTTATGTTGAGCCGGAGTACAGGTAAACATGTATAGCTAGCTATAGGTAAGCTTACACTTACTTTATTTCTATGGTGTATGTTGTAGGGAGTGCCAGAACAGAAGGTTTCTACAAGCTGAGTGTGAAAGACAAGACTGGAAACAAACTTGATGCCTTCAAGGCTGGCATGGATTCTGACACAAGACTGGTAAGTATACTGGATAATAAACCTTTAACAGCAGCTTTACTCAACAAACAATATCTGACCCGTAAAAGTGATGTGATGAACTGAAGTTTATATCAGAGCCATATTTAGTCTCCTATTTGTTTTACTTTTCTGTGATATTGTATACAGGGAAAATTCGCCAGTTAAATGTTTGCCCTTCAACAGTAAAATCCATTTTCGCCCTATTTTAGATCGCCCTTCAACAGTAAAATCCATTTTCACCCTATATTAGATCGCCCATCAACAGTAAAATCCATTTTCACCCTATATTAGATCACCCTTCAACAGTAAAATCTATTTTCACCTTATATTAGATTGCCCTTCAACAGTAAAATCCATTTTCACCCTATATAAGATCACCCTTCAACAGTAAAATCCATTTTCACCCTATATTAGATCGCCCTTCAACAGTAAAATCCATTTTCACCTTATATTAGATCGCCCTTCAACAGTAAAATCCATTTTCACCTTATATTAGATCGCCCTTCAACAGTAAAATCCATTTTCACCTTATATTAGATCGCCCTTCAACAGTAAAATCCATTTTCACCTTATATTAGATCGCCCTTCAACAGTAAAATCCATTTTCACCTTATATTAGATCGCCCTTCAACAGTAAAATCCATTTTCACCTTATATTAGATCGCCCTTCAACAGTAAAATCCATTTTCACCTTATATTAGATCGCCCTTCAACAGTAAAATCCATTTTCACCTTATATTAGATCGCCCTTCAACAGTAAAATCCATTTTCACCCTATATTAGATCGCCCTTCAACAGTAAAATCCATTTTCACCCTATATTAGATCGCCCTTCAACAGTAAAATCCATTTTCACCCTATATTAGATCGCCCTTCAACAGTAAAATCCATTTTCACCCTATATTAGATCGCCCTTCAACAGTAAAATCCATTTTCACCCTATATTAGATCGCCCTTCAACAGTAAAATCCATTTTCACCCTATATTAGATCGCCCTTCAACAGTAAAATCCATTTTCACCCTATATTAGATCACCCTTCAACAGTAAAATCCATTTTCACCCTATATTAGATCGCCCTTCAACAGTAAAATCCATTTTCACCCTATATTAGATCACCCTTCAACAGTAAAATCCATTTTCACCCTATATTAGATCGCCCTTCACATTTAATTACAATGTTTACTATGTTGTTTACCAATGTTCGCTGTAATAATGAATTTGCCCTCATTACGGATGTCGAAAAAGGCAAAAATTCAACTGCAGCTAAAATTTCCTGGTATACAGTAATGAAAATGAGTGCCATGCATAATGTACACATTGTTTCAAATTGGCTCATAGAGTATAGACCAAACAAAGATTGTGATTAAATCAAGATTCCAAATCTATGTTGATAACTTTGATGAATCATTAATGGGATCAAATGTAAACATTTTTACAGGTTCATTTAAATTATAATTATAAATCATCCTTCCAGAACGTAAAATAGATGTCCCAGCCAAACTCTACATCTTGTGGATTAATGTGGGTTACCTCCCTTGTCAAGGATTTATTGCATTGCATTATTTTGAATGACTAAATAAATTCAAATGATCTTAGTGTTTTTGCCACACAACTGTTTAAATATATGGAATTAATTTACATATTTTAATTGATTCTTGGTAATGAGATAATTTTCGATTATTATTTAAAAAGAAAGCACACACCTCCAGAGAAGCTCGACATGAAAACAGGAGACTCCAAACAACATTTGCTGACCTTGATGTGGGTGACCTGCTGCGCTTCAATCAGCTCAAGGTATTTACCTTTTTAAAGGTCATATTTTTTTTTTTAAATCAGTTAATGCTAGAATTGGTATTTATAAACCAGTTAATATTAGATTTATGATTATAAACCAATTTATACTAGAATGGATTATGAACCAATTAATATTAGATTTTTGATTATAAACCAATTTATACTAGAATTGGTAATTCTTATAAACCAAATCATATTTTAAACTCAAGTTTTCAAAGTACTAATGTACTATGTTCACATTAAGAATGTTGTTGTAACACTGTCCCCTTCCACCGCAGTACCGTAAGAAGCAGCTGAGGTTTGCCCGCTCAGATATCCACGACTGGGGCCTGTTTGCACTGGAGCCGATTGCGGCAGATGAGATGGTGATAGAGTACGTAGGGCAGGGTGTGCGTCAGTCAGTAGCAGACCTCCGTGAGAAGAAGTACGAGGCTGACGGTATCGGCAGTAGCTACATGTTCAGGGTGGACGCTGAAACTATCATCGACGCCACGAAGTGTGGCAATCTGGCTCGCTTTATTAACCACTGTTGTAATGTAAGTATAGTGGCTGAGGTACCCCTGTTAGTGACTGAGATGTTAGTACAGATAAAACTGAATAGTGTTCTCAATTCACTGTTTGGTATGATCCTTTTAGTCACAGTAAAATCCTTAAATATAAAAAGGAATCATGTTCACGTAACATTGCAATGATATAATCTTTAAGCAGATTTGTGATGTCAAAGCTGACAAACAACGTACTGAAATTTTTAGTTCAACCTTTCATTCACGCACAGAAATAAAATTGAGGTGATAATAAAACCAACAATTATCCATCCCTGATTACCTAATGCTTTTGTTTTTGTAGCCAAACTGTTACGCTAAGGTGATCACAGTGGAGAGTCATAAGAAAATTGTAATCTATTCCAAGAGAGACATTGATGTTAATGAGGAAATAACATATGACTACAAATTCCCCATTGAGGATGAAAAGATTCCGTGTCTATGTGGGGCGTCGTCTTGTCGCGGTACGCTCAATTGAGGGGGGTTAAAAATATTCTGAATCAAATAGGTGAGCAAGCTAGGATGGACAGAAATGTCGCCATGGGTTATAGCAAGGTATACAGAAGTAAACAGAATTGTCATCGAAGATTATCAAAATAATCAATGTGTCATTAGGAGGTTTCCCAGTAATCATGAGAGACGTCAACATGATACCAGAACTGTCATCAAAGATCAGCAATAAAAGTCAACACCTGTCACCAGGAAGGTCTGCATGGGGCACTGGATACATCACAATGGATCGCTAGAAAGTTTAACATGGATCACCACAAAGACCGTAATGGACTTGTCCAGTCAATGCATGGTAGAGTTTACTCAAGTTACATAGGGGTGAAAAGGTTAATATGATTCGCCAGAATTGTTGCCAAAGGTTACCAAAAGGTCAATATGCATAAGAAGAGGTGTGTCAGTCAGTTGTGCATTACAAGACCGGCATCTACCTGGTAATACTTAGTCCTAAAGGATGACCTTTTCAAATGTAATAGCAACTACTCCCTTGCAGATTTTGTTGAGGGGATATATATTTTCAGGAAGACTTCAAGGGGATATGTAAGTCAGGAGTAACCATGGTTGTTGTACATGAGTTGAAACGACAATGCAAATATGTATAGAAAAGACAATAGCCTACACTCTGACATTACAAACCATACTGTGTCGAATAGGTCTGGAGGTTGATTAACAATTGTACTTCAAAAAATCAATTTATAAATTAGAAAATCTGCATGATAATAAATGAGACATTAAATTATTCAAGAAGTTATTTCAAAATGCAGAAGAATACGGAAGAAGTTGCATGGGTTAGAAGATCTTGAGTTCTTTTTACAGAATGTTTAATTATAGGTTTTATGACCTTGACATAATTAAAAGTGCTATATCCTTCAGATATTGTTGACCTTCCTGATAGACTTATACTCAACTACGATCTCACAACAGCCATTGTTGTCGTACCAGATAAACTCAAGTGTTACCAACAGGGTAACTGGTCTGGTGACAGGCTTCAAGTTACCAACAGGGTAACAGGTCTGGTGACAGGCTTCAACATTCAGGGAGCAGCTGGACTGCAGATTTTATATGTTCATGTATCTGTAAGAAATATACGCCAGTTTTTGCATTTCATCTGATTATATGTGAACCATATGTCTATCAGATTTTTCTTTCCACTCGAATGTTGTTAGAGAGGGGGGTATGTGTGTGTGTATAGTTCATGATTTTGCTGTCAATAGTTGCATAATAATGAGTACAGCTTAGTGCTATTTCCGTATCATAAAAAAACCCTGTATAGTTTGAACTATTGTAACCTTCAAAATTTATTCCTAATCTTCATCATCCAACGAAAGAGTAACATGACATAAGCATGTTTTATGAGGTTATCTGTTCACATATTTTTTATGACGAATTAAAAAACATGAAGGAAATACTGATACAGACCAAAACAAGTTAGTTCGTTGTTTCTCTTCTGAAACTCCAATCCTCTTCTTTTTTTTACCTTAATGCACAGAGGAAGTGTAGCTTTGCAGCTGCATCAATAAAAAGGTCCAAGCTTAAGTGTTCTAATCAAGTTACGGATACTAATGTATAATTACAACAAGAGAATACATAACTTACTACCAGATTGTGCGTTGAATATGAAATCCATGTCATCTACAAATCAAATTTTGTTCTAATATGTTAACGTTTGATGTCAAAGAGGTTTTTACCTGAAGTGTTTTGTTATTGTGATTTTGATGTAAATACTATCTACAGTATTAATACTGTAGATAGTAGTGCTTCTTTATTTTCTTGATTTTGATATGTAAATGCTCATTAAGTTTGATGGAGTGTGGAATGTAAGGTCAACCCTGTCATTGGTGTGTTTGTAATTTGGGTATGTGTCATGGAATTGTTTGTAACCAAGGCTCTACTCTGTCATGGAAATGTTTGTAACCAGGGCTTTACTGTCATGGAAATGTTTGTAACCAAGGCTCTACTCTGTCATGGAAATGTTTGTAACCAGGGCTTTCCTCTGTCATGGAAATATTTGTAACCAAGGCTCTACTCTGTCATGGAAATGTTTGTAACCAGGGCTTTCCTCTGTCATGAAAATGTTTGTAACCAAGGCTCTACTCTGTCATGAAAATGTTTGTAACTAGGGCTCAACTGTGTCACAGAAATGCTTGTTATTGTGCTTTTAGAGATAAACGCGTGAACACAAAGTGAAATAAACTTTATTTTACAACAATTAAGAAGCAAGTTATATCAACTTTATTTTACAACAATTAAGAAGCAAGTTATATCAATAATCACTCACTGGTTGACCTGAATGGGGAAAACTTGCGTGGTCAGACAGGTGATCTCTTACCTTTCCACATCCTATCGGGCAATTGTATCCCAACTGTCTTTGTGAAAGGCATGTGAGCTGTCCGCCCTGCTATCCGACTACCCAAGTTTCTGGTTGGAGGCCTTTTTAGGGAGTTAAAACATTTTGAAATTATCCACAGTTATGTTTCAGATGTCCTGCATGAGAGTGATAATGTTCTGTATTGAAGAAAAATCACGAAAGTAACTAACATGGTGAAGGGTAACACATTCGTTAGGTACCTTTCTATGTTATCAGGTCAGGAGAGACACCTATGTTATCAGGTCAGGTATTCCAAACCTCAGAAGGGTAGCACATTCGTTAAGCACCTTTCTATGTTATCAGGTCAGGTATTCCAAACCTCCGAAGAGATTGAAAACGTTTCTGTGAAAAAAAGAAATTATATATATACTAATGAACATATAGTACTCATTTTGCCTTACTATATTGGCAAGCACCTCCAAGTGTGAATAATTTAGAACTCTTCTGTGTGGGAGATACAACACCAAGCATTGGGGTATTACACCTTAACCAACATCAACGTTAACCAACACTAATGTTCTATTTAAAGAAATAGAGGAAGTTGGGACAGATTTGTTTACGTAATAATGTAGATGTGCTGAAACTCTTTTGCTTTGTGTAGGAATTTATTTCATACTAGTTTAGACAGTAATACTTGCTTTTTAATAGAAATCTGGTTAATCATGATCATAAATTTGAATATTAACATAACACACCTTCTTAAATTGTCAATGAAATTGACCTTCACATTACCACACCAGATAAGAAGTAAATTTGTGTATACAGTATTGGTTAATATACCAATTGATACATATATGTAGTGATTCCTCCAACTGTTGACCCAATGTAGATTGTTTGATTAATTAAGGATTGAGTCTTGCTTTGGTCAATTTCATGTCTTGAAACATATTTAATGAAGCTTCATTCTGGTGTCTCCACTTAGGCCAGGATTTTTGTCTAATGTCAGGATTCCTCAGACAGGTTGGTGACCTCTGGTCTCGGCGATGACCTTCTACACCTCGATTCCCCCATTATCTAGTGACCTTACTCAGACAGGTTGGTGACCTCTGGTCTCGGTGATGACCTTCTACACCTCGATTCCCGCATTATCTAGTGACCTCTGGTCTCTGTGATGACCTTCTACACCTCGATTCCCCCATTATCTAGTGACCCTACTCGCACAGGTTGGTGACCTCTGGTCTCGGTGATGACCTTCTACACCTCGATTTCCCCCATTATCTAGTGACCCTACTCACACAGGCCAGATTTTGTGGTTTGTATAATAAAAAGAAGTTCTCACCTATTTGTGAAAGAAAATCAATTGCTTCTCTGTTTTTCACTTATGTTAAGCGCTTTTTTATATTTGCTGAATGTGTTCAGAATTTTTATTGGTATGTGTTGATTTAATCTATTTGTAAATATTGAATGATTTATTAGAATGCATTCTATTTAACAAAATAGTCAAGTGCAATTGGCAAGCTAGTGATCTTTGTACATGGTAGATGTTAATAGTGCTATGTACATAGAGAAATTGTTACTTGATAAATCCATTTGTATATAATATATATATTAGTAAATGTGAAAAGTTGTTTGTAAAGTACCAGGTGAAAGTGATTACTGTGAGTACCAAATAAATACATTTTAATACCATATTGCATTGTTGTTCTCGTACATTTTAATACCATACTGTATTGTTGTTCTGGTTCAATTTCATATTTCATACTCTGTTGCTTTGTTAGTCCCCTACCTGTACTGTACCCGGGGGGGGGGGGGGGGGAGATTATAGGTTTGCACTCCGTCCGTCCGTCATTCCGTCCGACGTTTTGAAAAAGTTTGTCTGGGGCATATCTTCTGTACTATTTCACCTGGAGTAACCAGATTAGGTGTACAAGGACATCATAGAATGACGGAGTGCAATAAGTAGGTCACTATATCCTCACTGTGACCTAAGCTTCCTGACATAGGTGTGCTGTTTGTTAGATATAGAAATCATTACCGGTGGGGGACTGGATTGCCTTGCAATACTCTGCCTTGTTCTTCTAAACCTTGCTGACCTGGACCAAACACAGCTTTTGCAATCAATTGCAATTCATCTGTAAACTTTTTTTCAACGACCTTTTTTCCAAAAGCAATAGGTCATTTATATCTTAGTGTGGCAGGAAATATTCCTAGGTGATACCGATATGGATTTGCTATGGAATAAAGGGACTGGACGCCTTTATGGATCCATAAGCCGATACGGGGCAAAATAGGGGTTAAATTTAAGGCAGCCAAAAGAAAACGACCTGTAATGAACAAGGTATCACAAACAAAACAAATCCCGGACTGGTCTCATGTCGTGCTCAGTATCTCCATCCTCACAACAGAAAACGACCTGTAATGAACAAGGTATCACAAACAAAACAAATCCCTGACTGGTCTAATGTCGTGCTAGTATCTCCATCCTCACAACAGAAAACAACCTGTAATGAACAAGGTATCACAAACAAAACAAATCCCTGACTGGTCTCATGTCGTGCTAGTATCTCCATCCTCACAACAGAAAACAACCTGTAATGAACAAGGTATCACAAACAAAACAAATCCCTGACTGGTCTCATGTCGTGCTAGTATCTCCATCCTCACAACAGAAAACAACCTGTAATGAACAAGGTATCACAAACAAAACAAATCCCTGACTGGTCTCATGTCGTGCTAGTATCTCCATCCTCACAACAGAAAACAACCTGTAATGAACAAGGTATCACAAACAAAACAAATCCCTGACTGGTCTCATGTCGTGCTAGTATCTCCATCCTCACAACAGAAAACAACCTGTAATGAACAAGGTATCACAAACAAAACAAATCCCTGACTGGTCTCATGTCGTGCTCAGTATCTCCATCCTCACAACAGAAAACAACCTGTAATGAACAAGGTATCACAAACAAAACAAATCCCTGACTGGTCTCATGTCGTGCTCAGTATCTCCATCCTCACAACAGAAAACAACCTGTAATGAACAAGGTATCACAAACAAAACAAATCCCTGACTGGTCTCATGTCGTGCTCAGTATCTCCATCCTCACAACAGAAAACAACCTGTAATGAACAAGGTATCACAAACAAAACAAATCCCTGACTGGTCTCATGTCGTGCTCAGTATCTCCATCCTCACAACAGAAAACAACCTGTAATGAACAAGGTATCACAAACAAAACAAATCCCTGACTGGTCTCATGTCGTGCTCGTTATCTCCATCCTCACAACAGAAAACTGATGGTGAGATGCCGTATTACCATGTCCATCTTCATTGAAATTTATATCAACATTTTTAGAGGATATCTAACCAGTGACAATCTTATAAATGATATCCGATAGAGTGAGTTTATTTTGAAGTATAATCTTATTCTTTACATGTACAATCACTGACTGGAACAAACCTCCCAGAAGATCTGGTCAAAACAACTGACATAAGAACTTTTAAAATTTTACTGCCAACAAATTAAATCCGAAGTACACTCCTCCAGCCCGAGAAATATACTTGATATCGAGTTCTCTTCCAGTATTATACAGATACAGAATTTACAGGCATCAGAAAATATGTTGTAACTAAGAAAATTTCTAAGATAGCATATAAATCATTAAGAGGGCCCCGGTGGCCAAGTGGTTAAGGCGTCTGACATTCTGCTACCACTGGCCCTCCACCACTGGGTTGCTGGTTCAAGACCGACATGGGGCAGTCGCCAGGTACTGACCCTAAGTCGGTGGTTTTTAGCTCACCTGGCCCGAAGGGCCAAGTGAGCTAATGGCATGGTGCGGCGGCCGGCATCCATCCGGCGTCAACTTTTTACTTTAAACAACTTCTTCTCAGTAACCAAAAGGCCTAGGGTGATGATATTTGGCTAGAAGCATGCTTGGATGAAGGGCTACCAAGTTTGTTCAAATGAATGACCTTCATCAATTTTCAAGGTCACAGGGGTCAAATATGTTAAAATCTTTTAAACAACTTCTTCTGAATAACCAAGAGGCCTAGGGTGATAATATTTGGCCAGTAACATGCTGGGATGAAGGGCCTACCAAGTTTGTTCAAAGAAATGAACTTGACTTATATCCAAGGTCACAGAAGGCAAATATGTTTTAAACATTTAAACAACTTCTTCTAAATAACGAATAGGCCTAGGGTGATGATATTTGGCTAGTAGCATGCTGGGATGAAGGGCTATAAAGTTTGTTTAAATGAATGACCTTCATCTTTTTTCAAGGTCACATGGTCAAATATGTTCTAAACCTTTAAACAACTTCTTCTGAATAACCAAGAGGCCTAGGATAATGCCAGGAACATGCTTGGATGAAGGACTACCAAGTGAATGACCTTCACCCATATTCAAGGTCACAGTGGTCAATATATGTTTAAATCTTTAAATGATTTGTTTTGTATAACCAAAAGGTCCAGGGTAATGATATTTTTCCAGAAGCATGCTGGGTTGGAAGACTATCAACTCTGTTCAACCTAATATTATAATGTCCTTGTTCGACATTCAAGGTCACAGGTGTCATATATTTAAATCTTTAAATAGGTTCTTATGAATGAAACACTGATATTTTGCCTGTAGCTGTATTTTAGTCCACTTTTAAGATTACAAGTGTGAGATTAATACCAGGTGAGCGATGCGGGCCCATTGGGCCTCGTTCTATGGGAACTCCGGCTTTCCTTCACTACCAAATCCTTAAATGACCAAAGCTGTTAATAGGACATGAAACACAAACAAACCAAACCAAGGAAATCATTAACAATTGTCATGAGATAGAAATGTGCTTATATCCATAATCCATATTACATGTTGAAGAAAATTAGGTTTTCTTTAAACTAAACGCACAATTCGAATTCTCCATTGGGGAGAAAAAATTCTGTGAAAGACATGAAAGTCGTATTTGTTGTGATTACGTGGCATAATATTAGTTCATACCATGAAATTACCAAATAGATATTCTATGATCTTTTGAAAGATGTAAATCATGAGTTGAATGTGTCATTGTGTTCATGGGGTAATGAATAACATTCATCAACCCTTGAACATAACAAATATATAGAGTGTTCTGTTATGATTATTTTTTTTTAACCAAATTTCCATGTAATATTTTGAGGCTGAAACAGTTCTTTATAAACTCAATTTGTAAGAAAGTTACCTTAAGAAATTGTTATCTCCTAAATTATATAGAATTATTATCTGAAGAGTGTCTTCTCTGAATGGACAGATCATTAATACACTTGCTTTATGTGTTAGATGAGGCTAGTATACCCTGGTAATCTATTAATATCGACATGCACTTCTCGCGTTCAAATGTCGTTGCACCATCTTTCTCAAAAATTCATTACTGGCAATGTTGATCGGCATGCACGGATTACAGGAACATTTTTAGTCTGCATTTCATCTTGGGTCAAATTCAGAAACCATTACCATTATGATGTAAATTAATACCCAAAGTACTAGAACCATATTTATCACATAATGTACTGTGTTATAATCCAGTGAATATACCCATGTCATATTTTTTTGTGTATTAACCCATGTAATATGACCCATCAGTCCTGTGATTGGTTGTAAGTTTCATATGTTTCAATTGTGACGTCAAGCCTAGGACAAGTACATGACTTCACAGACTTGTGCACTGGAGTCTAAATGGCGGCTTTTTACATTTCAAGGTTGCATGAAAATTGTCGTTTTACACGAATAAATGCCACAAGTCTTGATTATGTGATAAAAAAGATCTTAAACTCATTTTCATTTCATATGAAATTTATGAAACCTGTCACAAATTTTTCATTTTAGCTCACCAGAGGCTTGCTAAATTGAAAAATTCTAAGACTTGTTTCATAAATTTCATATGAAATGGAAACTCATGTAAGATCCTATATTTATGTAATTTTCAATTCAAAATGTTACCTGCACAACTTCACTGATGCATGTATAACACAAGGTTTAGCAGCGCTAGACAATAAGAAGAGAAGACATGAGCGATAGTGTTATAAGAATTTATTCACATAGATAGGAATGGTGCCTGTTCAGCACTATAGACGGTGGTATAGCCATGAGTGGGTATATATAAGGGAACACACGTATCACAGTCTCTAGTTAGGTACCATTAGTCTACGCCTGGTACACCAAATCACCTAGTACTTTATACACTGAGGCAAAAAAACAAATTCTCAAAAATTAAAATCACAAGACATCATAATAAATGATTCCACACTTCAGATTTTATATATATATATATATGACGTATTTCTGGTCTCATTATTTAACTCATTGACCCCTGAAATTTTATAATGAACTATTCAACCCTTTGAATTAGAGGAGTTCAAATGTGTCTACAGGGGTGAATGAGTTAAACTTGTTCCATAGTGAATATCTGTTAACAGCTGATCATCCTATTGTGACATTAACTTATCAATGCCCTTATCATAGAAACCTGGCTATCGTTTGTCCTAAAATCACAATGATCACCAACTATGTTCCATCACAAAGAGAGGGAACATATGATGGGCCTGCCCAATCTTGGTATTAAGTTGGAATCTCGCTATGTAAACGGTGTAATACACTGATGTTCTACTGTACAGTTGGGACCTCTGAGGTAGATAACGTGCACATCTAAAACAGTACAC